TCAGTTATGAAGTAGTGACTTCTTAAATGTCTTGTTATGTTGAGGTAACACATAATAGAATTTACAGAACACTTTATCAGTCTGATCAGTGTTGAATCTAAACTCAACTGTGCCTTTTGATGGGATTAATGTGGTCATCCAAGGTACAACTGGACCTGGGTTGTTAACACTTTGGAATCAGAATAAGTTTTATTTCTATTGTCAGTAAACAAATTTCACAAACTGCAGAGGCTGTACTCGCACTGATTAATGATTGGCTGCATGCACTTGGGTTTAGATAGTGACCATTCAAACCAGAGAGAGTCCATTTAGATTTAAACCAACTGGATTTAATTATAACATTGAGGAACTGAGGAATTTATCAAATTTACATGCATTTTTTCTCCAGTAGGTGTCCTCCGTGAATAACTGTCACTCTTTTAATATGTACTGCACACACACCTGAGGTTCCCAAACTTTTGAGGCCGGGGCAGTTTTTGACATAGAAAAATATACAAAAAGGGAAACTAACACAGTCAAGACTGATATGTAAAAGTTGTTTTTAAATCCTTTACACTTGATCTCCAAATACAACAGTTGCTCTACATGTCACGTCAAGTGTTATCTGATAATTCTAGTTCTCTGACTTTTTCCTGGCCTTGTAAATGTACCCAGTGTACATGTAATAAATAAACATGTATGTAATCAGATTTTCTGTCCAGCAGCACCATAAAACACCGAAGTATTGAATGAAATGTAAATCAACTTGTCAACTCCATAATACCAGTATGCTGTTTCTTGCATTTGTTCTTCAGTCTAGTGTCTTTTGGGACTTATAAATAACTTGTCTTTATCTAATGACGTCTCATGTTGTCTTCTTGTCTCCCGTTGTCACATGAAATGCACCAGATAGACTTGACTCACCTGTTAGTCTCCCGGGGAAGTGATAGATCTCCATGTTTCACCATGTTTGTGTGTCTTTTGTTATGGTGACAGTGCAGACGTAATCAACTTCAGAGGCGACTTGCGGTAATGTGTTTACAGAAGAGGGCTCTTACTGGACACATGTGAATACTCGGAGGGGACAATACAGAAAGCTCTTTGGACGTGTGACATCTTTGGATACTGTGGACATTTGTGGCTTGTTGCTACTTGTTGCTCCTCTGACAAGTGCCTCAGTGCCTCAGTGAAGTAGTTTACATTAAACTAGAGCCCGACTGATATATCGGTTGGTCAATATTATCGGCCGATATTGTCACCTGGAGGCATATCGGCTATCGGCCAATATGCTTGCTGATAGGAGCCGATATTTCAAGTGGGCATGTGATACGTCGTTAAAAATCTTAGACTCTCTACATCAGGGGTGTCCAAACTTTTTTCGTCAAGGGCCACATTTCTAAACACAGATGAAGCAGAGGGCCGATCGAGGACCGTAGACTGTGGCTGCTCAGTACAGGGAATAATTGAAATATGTGCCTGTTTATCATGTTAGAATGAGCCATCAGTCTTTATTCATGCTAAAATCCTTAAACTACACACGAAATATTAAATATTTGCTTTATCAAGGTAGATTTTCAAAAAACTTGCAGCAAAAAATTTCTTTTTAATTGATGCAAGGTCATTTGGGCCAATTTACCTGGAAGCCTGAGGGCCAAGAAAAATGTGTCCGAGGGCCGCATTTGGCCCCCGGGCCATAGTTTGGACATGCCTGCTCTACATTATGTTCATTTAATCAATGAGCTGTGAATAGACGTGTGAATTATGACATTTGCGCATATAATTAATTACCATGGCGCGCAGCATTTATGGTTAAAGGCTAATAGCGCTAGTTTATTTACTAGTTATGGGTCCGTCGCGAACGAAATGGCTCTTAGAACCGGCTCTTTGAAGCGAACGACGGGAGCCTGATCCCTATTGGGAGCCGTGTTTTCTCTTTCTCTCACTTTTTTTCTCTTCACTCCGCGTGCAGACTCGTGGTTTGACAGCGGCAGCGGCTGAAAACGAAACTTTGAGAAATTTGCGTGTACATAGGATAAAAAAAAAAAAAAAAACGAGCATATTTGGCTGTAGTTTAGCATAAAATAAATAAGTCCCGGTTTAGTCCTTTTTCAGGCCTGGTTTAGACCTGGTTCAGTCCTGATTCAGTCCTGCTTTTAGACGTGCTTTAGACCTGCTTGCAACAAAACAATCTGAAGAGACGCTTGGGAGCCAAAAGAACCAGCAGCTTTTAGTGAGCCGAGCCAAAAGAGCCGGTTCTCTAAAAAGAACTGGAATACCCATCACTAGTGTCTAGAATGTGATGCAAAAATGCCATTAAAGGTTGTATAGAGGATTTTCCAAGGAACGAGAAATCCAGCGACTGTTTGTCCTTTTTCAAATGTTGCGCATGCGTGAAACCACCCCCCCTCCCCTACAGCTCCCTACGTAGAAACGCCTCCTCCCTCCTCCTCCTTACGCCAGAAACAGGTTTGTTTACAGCCGGTGCGCTGCACATGACTTGTAAACAACTAACTACAGTGTTGGTTAGGCAAGGCGGAGAAGTGAGGAGCGGGGGGAGGGGGTGCGCGGACATTTCGTGCGTGGACGAGAAGTGAGGAGCAGGGAGAAGAGCGGACAGGGAGAGAGGAGAGGAGAGAGGAGAGGGGAGCGGTGCGCGGAGATTCCGTGCCCGGAGAAGTGAGGAGCAGGGGGAAGAGCAGATCGGGCAGCGGGGACAGGAGCAGGAAAGGGGTGCAGAGAAGGTTGCGCGGAGATTCAGTGCGAATGAACTAGCTACAACACGCAGCAGCAAGCGGACTCTTTCTTTGCCTTGAAAATTACGTTTTCAGACATAGGATATCGCTTTCGTGTCCTGAAAAACGTTTGTCTAGCTCTTGGAAATAAAGTACATTTTCATAATAAGCAGAAGTTACCTGTCCAGGAGTAATTTGGCGACCAGTGCGTCAGTCTTTAGACCCTTCGTCTGCTTCAGTTGTGCCATCGCTGGAATGAATCTACAAGAATCACCTTAGTTTGGCTTCGCTGCTTTTCCCCTTGTCTTCTTCTTTCAGCGACCTCAAAAACGGACTTTCTTTTGGGGATAACTGCTCCTGGATTCTTGTCTGCCATTGCAACAAACTTTGTGCTAACTGCGAGGAAGATATAGGTCAAAAAAAGCCGCTAAGTACTGTTGCGTTGGTGGAGTAAACAGCGTCTGTGCGGCTTGCGTCTGTGGACTGCGTGACATGCGTACGTAAACCACGTAATGGCAGCGCGCAGGCAAGTCAGTTACGCTAGAAACGTAGGGAGTTTGATTGACAGCCTATTAGCTAACAGATAACGAGGCAGTGTCGTTATCTATTGGCAAATGTTTAGTTGGCCCCACCACGTCCAGAGTTGATGAATTTTTATTCTCTTTTTTTTGGTCATCATAATTACAAGGCTACTGCATCTCTATAATGCTATCATTGACAATTTGAAACAAAAAAAATTCTCCATACAACCTTTAAGCCAACCTACTGTCTGTAAATATAATGTAAAGAGGCAGAATAACAATAAATGTTGCCTAAATAAACCCAATTTAAAATCCATCAGAGCCAAACCTAAGTTTTTTAAACAATTCAACATTTACAGTGAATTTTTACATCACTAAATATATCGGTGATTATATCGGCTATCGGCAGCTCCAACTCCCATTATATCGGTTTCATATCGGCCACAGCAAAATCCATATCGGTCGGGCTCTACATTAAACCTTAATTTTATTTTATTAAAGAGCCCATATTATGCTGTTTTCTGATCTAAGGTTTTTAATGTTGTTTCCTCATCAAATACATACCTTGAGCTGCATTTTGTTTCATTCACAAATCCTGTGTTTTTAAACTCCACACACCTTGACTAGAATCATTTGGATGCATTTTAGCCATGGAATTACCAATCTCTACTGAATAAATGTAAAAGGTAGCTGTTACTTGAAACTTGAAAACTAACACTACATGACATCACAAGGTGGAACAAATCCTTTTTATCTTTTTTTATTTTTTTATTTTTTTTTTTTCAAAATATGATACCTAAATTTTTGTTCCTAGGTTTACATGCATTTTGAGAAATGGGTTTAAACTGGACTAGACCATTTAGCTTCCCTAACTTTCTTCATCCATGGTTTTAATATGAAACTGCAGTGTATTTTTCTTTAACATATAAAATTGCATGCAAGTACTAAGCCATTCTGGTTGGAGGGTCCCCTGTAATTATTTGCTTGAGACCCCAGGAGAATCCTATAGCGCCCATGGAATTCAAAAGCCATGGGCACCCCCTGAAGAGTAGATTTTGGTGAGCTCTACTGGTAAAATTGTGAGTAACCCCCCTTTTCAATAGCTCAAAGGCGGTATTACACTTTTATGGGGTATTAATCATTAACACACAACATATTTAGATCACCATGTAAACTTTTATTGTTTTGAAAATGTTATATTAGCCAAAAACAACATATTAAGATGTTTCTGTTTTGTTTTTCTTTTGTTTTTGACAGACCCTTCAGAGCGTCATCACATTATGATGTGCATTTCGCTGACACTACTGCACAACATGTCAGGTTTGTGAAGTTGTAGCATATTGTTTTGCGGCCTGCTTTTGCATATGAAAAATGGCTGTGTGGGTATATGGGTGAGGTAGTTTTTTACGCTGAGTACTGGATGGAATTGTATTGCTAACCATAGGGAAGGTTTGAATAGGGCTCGAGAGAGATCACTAGATTATTCAAACATGCATGCATGTGTCTAAAGGCCGGGAACAATGTTATAACATGGTAGAAAGCTCCAAAAAGTTGATATTACTTGCTTTTTAAGAACATAGGAGTAGTGTTAAGCCCATGAGAAAATATATATTTCTACATAGTTCCATAATACACTTAAAATACAAAAAAAACAAACTTTAATTTTAACAAGGCACAATAAAACACAGACTTTAGACATAGTATATAGTCCATACAGTTAGATTCCCATTGTCGTCCCATGCAGCTGTACAGTCTGTGGACAGGTTGCTCACGCAGCCATCCAGATGGTAAAGGAGAGAAGCACAGTGAGGAGCAGGGTGCAGGGGGCCACACAGCCTCCATAACACAGGCCCAGGACCCCGCACAGAGCTGTGAGGTACGCACATAGACGACTGCACACCACCTTACGCACCGCTGTACAAAACTGACCACACAGAGAGAGGAATTATTAGAGACTCAGATAGTCAGATAGAAGGATGTAGGACACAGTTGATTTTCAAGGATAAGGGATCTTGACGCGGAGTGCCTAGGATTTTTTTTTAGCTCCACAGCCGCTCATATTTCCACATAACATTTTCTGTTCCTCCACACACATTTAATCTTTTTGTTTACTTTGATTTAACCGGGATATAATGTTGTATATTGTGCTATTTAGTAACTTAAAGTGCATTATGTCATATTAAAATGATAAACTTTACAAAAATGACAACACTAAAAAGAAAATAAACTAGGCAAGATTTTTTGTAAAATCTTAAACATAATTATGTTTTTTAGACAAATGAGAAGTCTAGCCTTTGGTTAGATTTGTAGTTCACTTTAATGTAAGTGAATAATTTATAGCTCTGATGCCAAGATTATGTTTTTTGTGTATAAGAGCTGCTGACATATTTGAACATCTATAGAAACAAACTGTTGCTGTTGCTATGTACTTAAGTGTTTTCATATTTGTCCCTTGTATTATTGAACCGCTGTGTCCAAGTAATTTATTTTGGCGATCAATAGAGGTTTTTTCTCCAAGTGACTTTATTGAAATTCTGGAGTAGCCATGGCAACACAGAATCACCCATCTACTGTAGCTGTTGTTTTCATAGGATTGCCCAAAACGTACTTGAAATACAATGTCCTCCACTAAAAATCTATGTTGATACACAAAACCATTTATAACTGAAAGCAGGCATATGCCCCCCTCATCCATATAATAAGATTTTTAATAATACATAACTAATAACAGCTGTTATAATCCTTAAAGGGCCTTTATTGTAGTATTTTTTATTTTATCTATGTATCAATTTACAGAGCTGGGTTTTGTTTATTGTGCTTTGTTTTAATGCACAAATCTTGACTATTTAGGCTATGTTCTTTTCTCAAACTGAAGAAACACTGTTCTTCCTTGTGATGTCATTAAGTGGTAATGCTCCACTGTGTTTTTGAATTCTCACACCTTCACTAAAATATTTCGTTTCAGATCTGGATTTGCCTAATTTTGAGGATGCTGCTATTGTTTTAGCTTCAGTGAAACTGCTTCACTCCTTGATTCACCAACAGATATTAGACTTTTTGTTGACAATCTCAACTGAGCAAAAGGTAAAATTTATTAATAAATTTTTGTATTCTAGAGCAGATATGTCAAACTCAGGCCCTGGGGCCAAATTTGGCTCACGATATAATTATATTTGGCCCAGGAGCTCATATCAAATATGTATTAGAGCTGGCCCGCCGGCTACAGATAGGCCATAGAGATATTATTTATTTAAAATTGTGTTATTTATTTTTATAAGAAAAGGTTTAACATTACATATCTTGAAAGAAGAGAAAACAGGTGCAGATGTTGTTGAAATTTTTCAATAAATATTTTGTTTGGCCCAATTTGAGTTTGACACCCCTGCTCTGGAGTATTGAAGCAGTTAAATTGAGGCTAGCTGTTATCTGTGTGACATCACAAGGTGAAATGGAGCATTTTGAACTTTAGGGATCCAGGCAGCCTAATAATCCAGAATTACACTGACATGTGTGGATGAAAATAAACTAGCCAGGTATGTTTTTGGTAATGTACAGCATTATAACATGGCTAAAAGCTCACTAGAGTGAGTTTGACGAAATATAGGGCCTTTAATTTGAATATATTGGACAAGTTCATCAATCATAATATTTTTTAATTTCATTAGTTTGGCAATCAGGGGCCTCAACACCACATTTAGTATATATCTAGAAACGACCCTGGCAAAGCAAATTTGGGTTGCACTTTTGAACACATTCTTGTTCCAGGATTCATGCAAACAATCCTATTCAAACACATTCTGTTCGCTTCTTTGATTTATTATTGCCTTGGTACTGTTGCATATTCGTTGTTCCCTTATACCAAATTTTGGTTTTAATTTTTTAAAAAATTAATTAAAAGGAGCCACAGGATTGCTGTATTTAAAATAATTGATATTACTACTGCTACCTCTCTACCACTACTACTACTGCTTGTACTGCTACTTTTACTAGTAGTACAGTAGCAGTACAAACAATAGTGTTTGTACTACTACTACTACTACTACTGATTGTACTGTTACTTTTGCACTTTACTACTCATTTACTACTGCTTTTGCTACTACAGCTACTATACTAACTATTACTGTTACTACTACTACTACTACTACTACTACTACTTGAATCTCCTTGAAAACCACAGTACCTGGTAAGTTTGGTAGCTGATAGCCATGCCATATCTGCAGTACATGACATAGTGCTCGCAGTTGTACCAAAGAAGACTATAGGTCACTGAACCCAGCAACTTCTCAGCTCTTCGGGCCACCTCATCCCCATCCAGAGGGGGCTGCTTACACACACTGTCCATGTGGTTGATCAGAATCTCTGAACCATATGCAAAATCCACCACTGAGTCCACTCTTACGCTCGCCGTCTTCGTTATAACCCCCAAAATCAGACGATTGTTGGTCACCATTTTGCCGATTTTAGCTTTGTCCTTCGTCAACACCGGTAAAATATCTGGAATGAGATGTGCCACCCGATTGTCACCCAAATAAATGCCGAAATGCGTGAAAAGGGTCCTGGGTACTTCTAGCAGGTCCCCAGGTTTAAAGAGAGAGAGATCATACTTGGATTCCCCCTCTTTCGAAGATGGCACAAAGAGCATGTTGAAAATTTGGAGGAGAAACATGTTGGTAGTAGCTGGTCGACGCTACAAACTGAAGACCTGAAAGGCTTATAAAGAAAGAGAAGGAGTTTCCAAAGAGGTCATAGGGATTAGGTGTTGGTCAATATTCAGGGCTGATTTGGACACAAATTAAGAGGATTCTGTTAATCACATTTTTGAAAGTCCGGTATTGTTTTGGATTGTGTGGGGCCAAGGAGGGCGTACTAAGCTGTCTGACTTGCGGTGTGGTTAAACCCAGATTTGAAAGGTTACATAGGTTGAGAAACTGAACCCCAACAATTGGCCTTTGTCTGCTGCTGATGTACAGATATGGCAGTATTGGCAATATTCAGCGTTATTCAGCAATTTTCTAAAGTGGAGTATGCCAAGGATTAGCCATAGTAATAGGTCTTGACGCAGAACTTTAAGCATATGCTGGCATCTACAGAAAACAGTTTGGTGATGTTGAAAAAAATATAATCTTTATTAAACATATTTTGTATACAATGAAATATCACAGTACACTCAGTCCTCATCTACAAAGACAAAGAAATTTAATTCACATAGAGCATACACCATACCCCATCATTTGAAAATGTATTGAGGGGATCTAAGGTATTTATATTCTGATTCACAATTGATTAAGTGCAGAGTACTTACTGTGGAACCACAATGTCATGATTATGATTAGAACTATTGAAAATTATAAGGATGAGTGTTGCCAAATACCGCTTATTGCACAGTTGTGTCCATTCATGAGGAAATGTATTTCAGTTACACTATAAAGATGGTATGATGATAATAATAAATATATATTTTTCTGTACAAGGCACTTCATGGTTGGTTGCTCATGATTGTGAATGTCTGTTCTGTTGTTTAGACAGAAATGTTTTGTAATGTTTTGAAATGTATTATTTTGACTTTCCGCATGTACATATGTATGTATGTATGTATGTATGGACATTTATTCATTCATCTCCATTGCAACTGGGCTCTGTGTTTGGTGGTAGGGACCTGCCCAGTCCAAAGAGCCTCCAAAATTTCAGCAGACTAATCCCACTGTGACCAGGGACTGGGCTATGCACTCTCTTGTCCCGTATACTAATGCACTAGTTTTTAAGGGTTTAAAGTGATCAGCATAACAACATTCTCACACCACTTCATTAACAGCACATAGGACGTCTTCCCATGGCAGTCACCATCCTCACAACTCTAAAACTGAGAGAGGTAGAAGGTAACATAGTACAATATTGTACAGTTCACTGCAGCTGAGCATTGAGCAGAATATCTTCAACCAGCCATCCACAGGGTGAAGGGGATGAGGATTGTGGGTAATGTAGTTGAAGGTGCCATACCAAAGGAGATGATGGAGCTGATGCCCAGAAGACAGGACACCAAAGCACTGCGCTGGTCTCTGATGACTGACTTCAGAACTGCACAGAACTGCACAAAAAACATTGCAATTACAATTACACTGGTTTAACTCTATCCATTTGTGTATTTTTCCATGTTTACATGAATGCAATGAATTACTTTATTTAAATGTGTAATAACCCAGTATCACTACCTTCTCGGTCTGCCTGCTGGTTGCAGAGCCATATCTACAGTTCGTCACAAAGTGCTCACAGTTGTTCCACAGCAGGCTGTAGGGCGTGTTCCCGAGCAGTCGCTCCGCGCGTCTTGCCACCTCCTCGTTGGGCAGAGGCTGGGCCTTCATCACGGTGTCCATGCGGTTCACCAGGATTTTTGCGCCATACGCAAAATCCTCGAGCGTGTCCACACGCACGGTGGCGTATCTGAACGTGCAGCCGATGATGAGGCGCGTGTTGGTGATAACTGTGCTTATCAGCGCTGGGTCACGTGTGAGAGCAGGCAGGATATCGGGGATGAGGTGCGCCACGCGGCCGTCGCCCAGGTAAATGCCGAAGTGAGTGAAGATCGTGCGGGGCACCTCCAGCATGTCACCGCGGCGCAGTGTGCCAGGACCGTACTGCTGTGGCGCGCGCTCTTCTTCTGGCTCGCGCCACTTGGACTCGAAAAGCGCGAGCTGCGTGAGCAGCGACAGCTTCTGTACGAGGAAGGTCCAGAGGGACAGCATGTTGTTGTGACCAGCCCTGTACCCGGAGCCTTTTATCCATGCGCAACGGGCACAGGGCGCGCGCACCAGACACGATTGGCCATATGGGCACGTGCACATTCTCCTGCTTTCACCTTTTGCATTAGTCCTGCTCCGGCGCTCCATGACCCACATGGCTCCACAGGGACTCCTGTGAGGGGCGGGAAAAGGATCAGGGTGAGGGGGTCACGAGGAGTGGGACATACAGTTTGGAGATGAATGATGTAGCCTGTTTTCAGATATTTTTGACAGTCTCTGAAACGTTACTGTTATTAAAATAATGAGCTACATGAGAAAAGCTAAAGGACCTGAACCCAGTGTTTACAACCAGACCCTCCATAAGCTCATTGCACTAATCTGCTGTGGTGTTTTAACCTGATTAGCCTGAGACAGAGTGAAGCGTGCAGGATTCACAGTGTCCAGTGAGGATGAGCCTTATGCAAGAGGCTCAGAGAAGAGAGGAGACTTCACCTGCTCATGGAGCCATGAAGGGAAGGCCCTGTTCTCATTAGCCCATTTGACCCAGATAGAAAGCACTCCCAGCAGCCTCGGGAGCCAAAGGAGCCACAGCAGCACAGTGATGTGCTGTGCGGGGTACATGATTGACCTACAAACTGGTTTAGACAAGGACATGATGATGAATGAGCTTCTAACCAACATGTTTGACCTAATGATGATCTTGATGACAGCAATGCATCCCACACAGCTTTATGATCCACTAGGGTTGTCTAATACAGTGGAACAGTAGACTATTGTTTTATTTTTAAAATACTGAAATAAATTTAAAGTATAAAGTTCTTTGGTAGAATTTTTTTGTTTGTATTTGAGATTTGCTGACCTGGTTTGTGGTTAACATATCTGTACTGAGCCTATCAATACAAACAAAAATAGGCACAAAGTTCAATGTGCTCTGTGTCAGCATAAATAAATACAACTGAAATCATTTTTTTCAGAATAGCTTCAGAAACCCAAAAGGCACTACCAAACCATGCCCACGGACCCTATCCGTGACCAAAAATGGATTACTGGTATCAGACAGGAAGAATCTGTAAAGTACAATAAATACTCCAGACAGTTCAATGTGACCTTTGTTTTTGGTGGCGCCAATGTTTACTTTGTTTGCCAAGTTGTTAAGTGGACATTGAAAATAGTGGGTAGCACCAGGGTCAGCCTTCAAAGTGCCCTAGCCAGCTTTGGCCTGGCAAAAGAAAACCAGACAGCAGAGGCCAGGTGAGGGGATGGGGAACAGATCTCACATCTGCTATATACTGGTGAACAAAAATTAAATAAAATTACGCATGGTAGCTTTAATTCTTAACTTGGTCTGGTAGAGTCACCAGTTTTTCTTGATTGAGACAGATACATTCATTGCCATATAGTGGTACATTTCAGGCAAAGCATTAAGATATCCATGGAGACAAACTGGTAGCGTAACCCCCACTGGTAAATTTATATAGTGCACCTTTAATGAAATGGTGCAAGTGCTGATGTGAGCTGACCACAATGCAGCAATGGTAGCAGGTACCTGGATAATCATGTGTAAAGAAACAGTATTCCTCATAAATACACAAATAAGGTGTTTCTGATGACGATACATAAAGTTACAAGATAACTAAAGCTAGGCCTGTTACGATAATGCATTTCAAACACATTTAAAAAATATAGACGATAAATGATAATATTAAAACTAATTACTGACACAATAATCCTAAACCCCCTTAAAATTATGATAGATATAAAATTGTTAAAAACTTGAGCTACAATAAATAAACAGCAGAATGAAACACTTCAGTAGTTAGTTTGAATGTATTAAGTCATATAAGTTATTTATTCAACCTTTCACAGCTCAAATATATTATAGTGTAGAAAAATAAACAAAAATTTCCCATTAGTACAAAGAAAAAGTACATTCAAGAAATAGTGACCCCCAAAAAATGATTGTTCCATCTATCATGTATTGAACGATCAGTCTATATTGTGTTTATAGTGACAGGCTAAAAGCACAGAGTTTGTCACTTTGTCCCAGTCCTCCTTATGTGCTGACCACTTGCCCATATGTGGTATAGGTCTCAGTCACACCTCGTTCAGCTGAGTGGGCTTAGGCTGTGACCGTGCTCTGAACTCGGGGCTATGAGCTCAAACCTTTGCCCTCTATCGCCGGGGAAATTTACATCCCTCCCAACTTCTCCAAAGGTCCCGGAACGCTCTTTAAATTTTAATACTTCAAACTGTGTGCACTTTGTTGGACAGCTTTGAAAGTAGTTGGTGATTAGCGACCAAGAACGTGTCTGGATCTTAACTTTGTTTCACAAAAACGGCAATAGCTTTATTGTGCTAATACGTTAGTCGGCGCATGAATGTAATGATCATTCTGCCTTTTGAATGCTATGCCATGATGGTAACAAACAACAGATACACTGCCAGTCAAAAGTTTGAACACACCTTCTCATGAATTTTTTTTTATGTTTACAACTTTATTTACATACAGAAGACATCAAATATATGATGCAAGATATGTGGAATTATATAGTAAAGAAACATGTTAAATAGCTAAATAAACTAGTTAAATAACTTAAAACTATAAAATTTTATAATAAAATCCTCCATCCTGTCTTGACAGCGATGCAAACTCATTGAACTCTGATATGGTTTTCACTTGACAAGTGTGCCTGGTCAAGGACAAGAAAGAGTTATTTTGAGGTTATTTTTTTGTTTACTACATTCCATATTTGTCCATTCAAGATCTGGAAGGTCCCCAGGCGCAGCACTGCAGTTACCCCAGCTGCACTGAAGGATGGGTCAAATGTAGGCCAAATTTCTCTACCGGGAAAATAAATTGTGTCTTAATTGTATAATTAGTTAGTAGATATATATTATCTTTAAGGTTAATTCTTCATATGAGGTGATTAAAGGGTTCATCTCTAAGGAAATGTTACAGCTTTGCCTTAAATGTTCAACATTATAGCATTAAACAAATTTCTTTTGCATTTATTACACATGTTTTTATAGCTCAAAAACACCTTGAAAAAGTACACAACATGCATTTTTCACCACTGGCAGATTTTACCTGTGACTGGGCCTGGTTATCTCCATGGAGATGAATAAGTTTAATGCTATACTCCATAACATTCTAGGCAAAACAAATTGCATCGCCATGAAGACAAACAGGCGGTGGTCTTAAAAGATCATTACACTTGTTTTGTTACACTTAATCTACAATTGGTATTAAAATACAAACCACACTGATAGATTTAGTAAAATAAAAGTGAACGTATTAACTTATTAATTATTACTTAGCCTTAGTTTACCTGCATGCTTGCAAAGGACAGCAGCCAAAACCTCTGTACCCAACAATGAACTTATATTGTCTTTGTTATAGTTGCTCAAATGGAAGTACTAAAGTGCAAACTGAAAACTGCTCTTAAAAACACAACTCATCAATAAAATGACTGGAGTAAACCCACGTGACCCGCTCTGTGACTCCCTCTGTGACTCCCTCTGTGATTCCCTGACACATGCACTCCACACTGATGAGGTCGTACCCAAGTGTAGGCAGAGACACTTTTCCATCTGCTGCCTGAAGTCACCCAGAGGTCCCATAGAGGTCACACAGAGGTTGGCTGTGTTCAGGTTCACCCGCTGTGGTTCATGCTCAGGTCAGCACCCTTACATGCACCCGGGGCCCACTGCTCCGCGTGATAAAAACAGGCCACCCCGAGGTGCTCATCAGGCCAGATTTATGATCTAGTGTCATCTCCCCTCAACACACAGAAGCAAGTATGAAGCCTTATCCTGTTAACGCTTGTTTTGCTTGTTTTGATGTAATAGAAGATGACCCACAACAGGCTGTTACACCATTGCACAATGGAGATACAACTTAATATGGGCTAATGCAATGACGCAACAGTAGGGATGACACTTTCAATTTGATTCCAATCGATACCAAGGCTGGAACTGTACCAATACAACTTCCAAATATGAATACGTTATTATTTAAGTTTTGAAGATATTCACACATAATTATCAATTAATTATGTGTGGCCAGCTAAAACCATACGCTTTACAAAATGCACCAAAAGTTTACAAAGTTGTGTGAGTCTGAAAGCATATTATATTCTATTTCCTCGTTTTCAGATAGGCGTGATCATAGACTGTGTAAAGAAGAGGACCAAAGGAATATGACATCACCCATAGCGTTCGGCTCCAGTCAGATGAAGCTCACAAGGCTAGCAGTTATAGGAGTGAATTTGGAACCAAGTCCTAATAGGAATAGGAGTTTATTCACAAAATAGTAAAACAAAAACACAAGATCATGTAGAGTGGGTCAATACAGATATATTAAGACCAAAATGACGATGCTCATTGCAGCAGAGAGATGAGAGACAATTTCCCATATAAAATCAAGTAGAAGCAATCCACTTCCTATATGGAACACTATGTCCAGTGTCCAGACAGTCGATGGGAGTGATTGGCAGGTGGATTAATCAATCAAAGAAACAAACATGGTGACTTGTAGTAAGAAAGGGGGGCATAAATCATACATATCAGATGTATATAAATAATGCAAAATGTTTATGTACTTGTTCATAGCCCAAAGCAAAAAAAAAAAAGTGTGATATGTGATATTTATGAACACATATCACTCTTTTTGTTAAGGAAGCACAGAGAAGAATATTTATCAACCACTGTTTTAAACTAGTAAGTTATTCTAGATCATATTACATTTTACAGTTAACAAAATGAACTGAAATCTTGTATGTTTTCTTCAAGTTGCCCTTCTTGTCCCAAATCCAAGAGCCTAAAGAAACTACAGTTCAAAAACACACATTAATTTTCTCACTAAACAGATTAGCATGGCATTCCTAATGAGATTTGTACAGATGGATTATGGGGATTTAAGATTCAGAAGACAGTCTAAACGCCCTGTTCATGTGCACCAACAAGTCAACAATGCACCGATTCTCTGGGGGGGCTTTCACACAACTTATTTGCTGTCAAGATTGGCGACCTCATGCAAAATTACAGAACCCGAAGGACCATGGCAGCACCCACGGCAGCTTCTGGAATAAAGTGAATATTGGTCTGATTACACCCAAAGCTAACTGCTAACATTCTCATCACAAATCAAACCTTCATAAAAGCAGCTTTGTTGGATTAAAGAAAGAGAAAATCTTGGGAAAATCAAGAGACAAATAGTTGTTTTTATCTGCTATGGCAACAAACTTATGCTGATAGCGTTAATGTAATTTAGTGCCATAACTATATGATGCACCTCCTGTAAGCGACTTTGAGGTACTCAGTATTATTTAACAGATGTGCATGGGTTTCCCCCAATCTGCTCGACAATGGTGTTTATGCACCAGAATACCACTAAAACATTTTAGGCTTTTTTTTTTTTTTTTTTTTCCTTTTTGCCATTTTGGGTGTTTTTCCTCCCCTAAAAATACAATAAATCCTATTCCTTCCTATGGTAAGTGGGCTTGAATCTCCACAAACCTGACTCTTATTTGGCCTAGAGGTGGGCCTTCTGTGTGTTTCCATTTCTTTGGCTATGCTGTAATATTAAATGGTATGGTTTAAAAACTCATCTATTACCATGTAATCATGGATAAAAAATTAAAAAAAAAATGTAGCTATTTTTACAAGTAAAAACACTGCATATTAAAATTAGCAGCTTGTCACTGTGAAATGGTGCTATGTAGTAGTGGGCCAAGCAACATGGTTCAGCTGTGGAGCTGTTTGTTGTGATAACTCTCAGTGGGATACAGGGTGAAGTGGCACTCAAGAATCATTTATATGCTACTGAATGAGAATCAGTGGACATGTCTCTGTTACTATTCTGTTAGCTTGTCCTACTGGTTGCCTGTCACAGTGGTTTAGGACACTCACTGACACACAATAACACAACTGTCACGAGAGATGAAAGTGCATACAGCATGTAACACAACTCAACTCAGCAGAGCAGAGAGCAGTGGCCAAGAAGAAGAGACGCACCAGAGCTTAAAGTGACACTTAACACTTAAACACTTAGCTCATAACCACATTTTAAATAGAGTTGCTAAACTGGACAGAACCTGGAGGACTAAAGAAGAGGATGAAGGGAGAGGAGAGGTCTGGACTTATGAAGAGGGGTGTGATTGGTCTAAGAGGTATTCACGGGGATCCTAAACACTTGGCTGTAATCAAGACAGTCTTTTGTGATGTCACCATGCACTGGAAATCGTTTTTCCCATTGTTTGCTGATATAAACATGTGGAAACTCCAACAGGAACACACATTAACTGTGCATTCAAGTTTGCGTAAAGCCACAGTAGCCATATGGCTCCATGCCATACTATCAATATGGCATATTGATAGTACCAATATGACATGGCTGCTCCAATATCCATGTGTAATCTGCACCGACTGCCCTATGTGACAGTTGGCAAAAAATGATTGCAGGGGTCACTGAAGGTAGCACAAACTTAGATTTAGATGGTTTTGACCAGAAATGTGCAAATTTACCTAATTTGCTCGAAAGTTATTCAAGAATTAAAGCAGTAGCCAATCCTTTTAAAGCAGCATATCCAGTAGAGAAAATGGGAGTGTTTAGTTCCTCTTCTCTCAAACAGAAAACACTCTGCTCCACCTTGTGATGTCATGTGGTGATAGAGAAAGTGCTCTCCTGTGTTTTTAAACTCCATGCACCTTCTCTAAAATCATTTGGATAATTTCAGCCCTGGAAAGAAGCTATTAACCTGAAAACTACCACTTCATGACATCACAAGGTGGAACAGAGCACTTTTGAAGGTGTATAAACAGACAATTATAAAAGGTTACCTCGCAAAAATTAATTTTGTATTATACAGGACCTTTAAGGACTGGAAATGACTTGGAATGGAGGACAGAATGGACAAAATTACAAAAAGAGGCCCTAAAAATTTTAATTTCTGCTTCATATTTAATAACAATAATTCCTTTTTCCAGTTTGGATCTTCCTGCAAATGTATTGGTGGAAGACTTTGTAACTCCTGTCACCTGTTTATCTCCATGGAGATGTCATGAAGATCACTGAGGCAGATAACACCACTAGGCTAGGCTACATGTCAGATCTGTGGACAGGCAACCCCACTCACCATAAGAATGTGAGTTGTTCAGGGTATTTTTGAGTAATTAAAAGATATGGAATTCAATAAATACAATGACAGATAAGTTTAATGGCATACTGTGGAACATTCCAGTAAAAGCAATAGCATCCCTAAAAGACAAGTAGGTGACAGAGTCCTCACCCCTTCACCTTTAAACCAATGTAGCTTGAATAAATTATGGTAAACTGATAAAGTACGTAAGGATAACCGAATGTACTGGCATGTATCAAATCTGGGAAGTGATGAGAACATTGAGTTTTGAGTCATGGTTTTGTACTGACGCTGTGTTGACTTTGTTCACCCACGAAGCCTTTCTCAAACACTGCAGTAGGACCTTGGTCAGATAAATATCCCAGAGGGCTCAGCAACCCCTCATTCTCCAACACACACCAGCATGGCACCTTCTGTTGTTCAGGCCACTGTAGGACTCCTTTTCCTTCTTGCCTCTGCGCATGCGGTAAGGACAAAATAATTGAATTTGAAATACTGAAAAACAATGTAATCCAAATGTCATGAATTTAGAATATTCATTTGATAAGTTTGATAGTTTACATGTATTTAGATCATGGGCCTTTTTAACCCAATATTTGTTTTATTTATTTTTTGTTTTCAGAAAATAAATAATCTGTCAATAATGTAAGAAAATTGCAATTGAAATAACAAACATTTTGTTACCCCAGTTGATGGATTTTCCTTTAATCTTATAACTTTATTGAATCCAGTTATAAATGTGCAAAATCACTGATACTAGTAGACAGATAACCTTAATGCAAAATCATGGGCCATAGTAAAAAAAGAAAAAAAAGACAAATAATAGGTCACATAACTTAATAAATCTAACCTACAATTATGTTATACTAAATTATACTAGTTTTGTCTATATTTCTCTATATGTTTTTACATTGTGGTTTGTTTGTTTGTTTTTTAGCAAGTAAGAGGAGACAGCCTGGCAGCATGCTCGCCAAATGACGGTTTTGTAAGTATTTGCATGACTCCTTAATAGTTCTATTTGGATAGTACATTTTGGGCACTCTACATACCTCTGATCAAGATTATTATACTAGAAAGATTAAAGACTGAAATTTGAATGATTGTTGAGTTTACTGAAAAAGCCAAAATCTTATTCAAGCTGTCCAATAGATAAATGTGACCAATTTGCATTCAGTTTGAGAAAACAATTACTCAGCTTATATGAGAAAACTATTGCATAACAGTGGAATAACAAAGGCTTCCAACTTTACAAAGATAAATTAAATGAAACAGAAAACGCACATCAAAGTACTTGTAGAGGGGTAAATTTAAGGAGCAGTAACTTAAAAGGTGAAAAATTGCATAGCATTTTGGACCACAGTGGCCCAAATCAAGAAAAATTATCAGACAAAGGTTTTGTTATCTGAAAAATGCTAAATATTTGCATGGTCTTGGCCAAGGACAATAGATTTATATGTGCAACTTACATTATATTATTATCTATTATTATGTAACATACAAAGCCCAAAAGGAGAATGCCAAAAGTGGCCAAAGTGATCAAAATCAAAATTACAATTTTTTTACTCAATTTGGGTTCAATATTGTTGCCGCAATCAAATAAGAATATATAGAAATTAGTTCAAACCTGACTTATTAACATGACTGGAGTTACAGTAGCTCAGTGTTTGTCCCCTGACCAGAAGGTTATGAGTTTGAATCCACTTCTTGACTTAAACACCATTGGTACACTGATGTGAATATATGAGTGAATGGCTGAGTGGTTCCTTGAAGTAAAGTGCTTTGAGTGGCATGAAGATGGAAAAGTGCTATATAAAAATGTGACCATTTACCGTAAATACAACAAATCCTTAAGAAATGAAACCTGCACTGTGTAACATTTCTGGTAGAGGGTTCAAAACGTGCTTGAGTTCATGTAGATGTGTTTTTACTTGAATGTTCTAGAGTATGGCATTTAATTTAATTGTCTCCATGGAGAGAAGCAAGCCATAGCACCAGGCCAAGTTACAGGTCAGATCTGTGGAGAAGTGGGCCCACTTACATTGATGAATAAATGAATGTTTTTGCAGTAATTTTGAGAAAAAAAACAGCCACAATTTAATAAATACATAGATATATTTGTTTAATGCCATACTCTGGAACATCCCAGGCAAAGCAGTGACCACCATGGAGACAAGCAGATGGAGGACCATCCACCAGAAAAGTTACACAGTGCACCTTTAATATGTGTTTAAATTGAATGTTCTGTGTTTAGGGAAGGTACTGCCCGACCACATGTGGAGTGGCCGATTACTTGTTTCGATACTTACCAGACGTCAGCAGAGATCTGAAATACATGGAGAATGACCTGGAGCACATCGCCAACATGACCACAGACACGGAGGACAATGTGGTAAACATGAAGGACTCAGCCACAGCTGCACAGAAGAGCTCCCAGTCAGGTCAGGCACGATTTACAATGGGCTGGGATGCTATAGAAGTTCCAGATCCAACAATGTGCTGTAATAATCTTATAGATGAAAAATACACCTGACCAGCCAACACCACACACATCTGCAATACTTTACAGATGAGTGGAAGATGTGTGGGTCTGGAACCATATCTTGTCTCTACTCATTTTGATATGTATGATTGACAGGCAGAGTAATAAATCAGAGAAATGCATATTTGGTTCACATCAAAACAGACATGGCAGCTTACAAGAAAATAAATAAATAATAACACAGAGTAGATTTCAGGTGGAGAGCTGACCACCAGGTTGCCTCCATGGAGATGTTATTATGTTGCAATGTTACATTTTTTATCCTACTTTTATTTAACCAGGAGGTCCCACTGAGATTCAGAATCTCATTTTTAAGGGAGCAGTCAACACAAGTAAAACAAAACAATCACAAAATATCACATTATAAAACTATTTAAATCTCTGAAGAAACCACACCCTTTACAATGCTCTTGAACTTATCAAGTGACACTGTATTCCAATTTAAGATTTTTCTGTAAATGATTCCAAGACCGTGGTGTTGCGAAAAGGCAGATTTAGCAGATTTTCAGTGAAGCACCAAACCACAGTGAAAAATAACTCAATGTTGTATGTGTTTCTTTTCAGAGAACTACATAAAAAAATCAGCTAGCATGTTGGATGATGTCCTACGGTATGAAAAGACCATCCTTGCACAAGAACAGCAAATATTGTAAGTGTCTATGACTCTATGTACCCTGGAAGAGACTGTGTTTTTCTTTCAGCACACCCACGCTGAAGTCCAGGCCCACACATTGCAAACATGCTCTGAAGTTTGGACAGATACAATCCCATTTACATAAATCACAATGACCTAAATATTTGAATTTCTCTGTTTTGAGTAGCTTTGACTTGATTGATTTAATTGTTAGGCCTATTTTATTATGTTTTTTAATTTTATGTTTCAAACAGCTTACTACCACAGACTCCAAGATGCATTTTCTATGTGTTTTTAAAGTTTGGGTTTTGAACTACAATTTGGCAGAAAATTAATTTAGTAAATCTTTAACATGTTCTGGTATAGAAATTTGGTATGCTGCTTCGGTTTATTTTCACCAATGCAATTTTCATAATACTGAACAAGACATATTCCTCTTCCACAGAACTCTTGTTTTGGAGGCATGCATATTTTTATCTCATTATAAAATCATGTACATGAGAAGTGTGTCATTATAATTCCAATGGACCAAAAGAACCCAAGGACTGTGAGACTGGTGGTGTGATTAAATTGAAAATAACATTTGAAATATTACGGTAATTTAAAAGATTTTTTCTTAGCATGGAAATGACAGCAAGGTACATGGGGTGAAAATTATGTTTTATGTTTTACACCCCAAGGTAGACTATATTACTTCATAAGTGTACATGTAAAAAGAGATAATTGTAGTTAATAGATGATTAACATATAATACATGCTTAGCTGATACAAGTACTAGTGTTGAATGCACCAATACGGAAAAATGAGCTGGACTGGTTGTTGGTTTCATGGTACTGAATAAAACTATTTATAGTCTAGCCTTGAATGCCTCATAATGTTTGAACTTTTATTCATACAAAGTTATTCAGTAGTTATTTGAAGGATAAATGACAGTTGCGTAACACAACTGGATGTGTTAACTGTGTTTTAGGAAATGAATGCTGTTTACTGTCCGTACACCAGTTAATATCAAGTATTGGCAGACATTTAAAATCAAAGTATCGACATCAGTATCAAAACTAAAAAAGATGGATTGGTGCATCCAAATGTAGGTACCAAAAAGAAGTTTATAGCCCATAATATGGTAATATCATTGATGGTTCAATCCGTCATTATGATTTTGAGCAAGACACTTCAACCTGTTGCTATTATTTTCCAATTTAGTGAACTGCAGAACATTCTCTCATCCAATCAGAGGAGGATGGCTGAGCTGGAGAGCATGTCCGCCCAGCTTAAACAGAAGTGCCAGGAGCCATGTCAGGACTCTGTTGTAATCCAGCCCACCACAGGCACAGGTAACACAAAACAGAACCAAAAAGCACCACTGCAACCCAATGTTCAAGTTTCATAAGCGCTTTCTCAATCTCCTTTCATTTTAGTAAATAGCCTTGACCACTGTTCGATCAATATTCCACTTTGCTGCAAAGTAAACACGCCCCCTGCTTTTATAGAGCTGCGCAAATAGTGATGTACACAGGGCTTTTTTAGGGCTTTAAAGGGGGAAAATGCAATATGCTTTGTTTAGGGAGAAGAGCATCAATTTTAAGCCCTGAAAATTTGCGTGTGGAGGAGTGACCAAAATTTTTTATGATTTTTTTTTTTTTTTTTATAAATTCACCTACCTATACATTGAAATTTGCACTTTTACTGATATAGGCACTAAACATTGCAGACTCATACCTCACATTAAACAAATCAAAAGAACTTCATTGCTGTATGATTAGAAACATCTTCTGTTATCATCCAAAAGGAGGCACACCCAAACCCAAGGTGGAAAGATATTCTATTTGCTTTTCAAAACTTTTCTGTTGACCAGTTTTTACCAGAATTGGCAAAGGGATTTTCTGATGTCTTAATGCCCCAAAACTTTGAAATGCCCAAAACTTGATTTGACATTACAGTTTTGCAATTGCAATGTCAAATAAAAAAGTTTAATATATTTTGTTAACTTTATGTTTTTTGCCATTAGATTGTCAAGATGTTGCCAACAAAGGAGCCACCACCAGCGGCCTGTATTACATCAAACCTACTACAGCACCAGAACAATTCTTGGTCTATTGTGAAATCGATGAATTTAGACGAGGGTTCACTGTTCTTCAAAGGGTAAGATATGTTCTGTTATTGTTAGTGCTAGTACTGCAAAATTAAGGCTAAAATACAAATACCCCACAAAAAAGAAAATAGTAAAATAGTGGAGCTTTGAATATTTAAAGATATTAAATACATTGATTATATAGTTTGTGGTTTTATTTACAAATGTTAAGTAAATCCTTTATGGTAAATATACCTTTCATTGAGTAAATAGTTTCAACCTGCTACATAAACAGAGAAAAGGTCCTGTATTATGCAAAATCTGGTTGAGCTTTGGGCCATGTTATGTTGTTACCTCACCAAAAACATTAATGCATTTATGAGTGATCCTGTATTTTAGCATAACCTTTCCTAAGTTCAAAACATTCAATTTCATCTTGTGAAAATCAGGCCAAAATCAAATATTGATGTCAATAATCAACAGCCCTGAATAGGAGCTTATAAATAAGACCAGTGTGAAGTGATTCATAGCTTTAGTATTGAACATCTGCTAATTATGTGTGTAGTAGTCAATCAACATAGTATAAAACAGATCGTGAAATACTTATGTTTTTAGATGTCTAATCATAGTTAAAAATCCTATTCCAATCATTCAAAGAGAAAGACACACTATACTTTTGTCTTTTTTTCTTTTATCTTCTGTGTTTGCATGCACAGAGACGAGACGGCAGCGTGGATTTTAATAAGAACTGGATCCAGTATAAGAACGGCTTTGGGTACCTCTCCCCAGATGACACTACAGAGTTCTGGCTGGGCAATGATAAAATCCACTGGCTGACCGTGGGTTTGACCATCCCCACTGTGCTGCGGATAGAGTTGGTGGATTGGGAGGGCAACAAAAGGTGCAATCAATAACTCTATTACATAAGACCAGCTTTAGTAAAGGAAGTAAATATGAACTTTGATACAACTATTACTACTCTTCAGAGATCACAGCTTCAATCTCAAGAGTTATCGAGCACTCTTTGTAACCACTTCACAAATATTAGCTGGGTTAAAAGATTATATTTTTTGTAGCATTCTCTTTTTTGTATATGTTGTTTTAGCATTCAGTATTCATCCATCATCATCGCTTCTACTACTTTTAGCCTGATCCTTTGCTTTAAAGTGCACTATGTAACATTTCTTGCTTGCCTCCATGAATACGTTATTGCTTTGCCTAGAATATTTCACAGTATGGCAATTAATTGATCTAGTTCCATGGGGACAAGAAAGTGACACCACCAAGCCAAGTTACAGGATAGATCTGTGAAACATTCCTAACTTTGCACAGTAAGATGAATTCTCACGATATGTGTGAGTTCACAAACTGGTTGGCCTAGTTTTTTTATTATTCATCTATTGTATGAATGAAAACACTTAAAATCAAAATAGCAACCATTATTTCCATGAAAAACAGTGGATGACCTGAATGGACTACCATGAATCGGAAGTTGCATCAAAACAAATGAATAAGACAATAGTAAAATTATAATCTAATAAGACCCCAAACCAATTAACTTAACAACAGCTCAGAGTTGCCAAGAAAGCACTTTTTACCCCCACACTTTTCAGCAAGTTTAAATACATTTCTATGTGACTGGCAGGTCTCTCACCATGCCTTTGCCCTCTTCTCCCATTCAGATATGCAGATTACAACATGTTTGCCCTGAGTCCAGAGACTGACATGTACCGTCTCACTTATGGATTCTACTTGGGTGGAGACGCTGGAGATGCTTTCGCTGGCTTTGACTTTGGAGATGACCCCAGTGATAAGTTCTACACCATGCACAATGGGCAGCAGTTCAGCACCCATGACAAGGACAACGATAAATATGACGGGAACTGTGCCCAGCAGGACGGCTCTGGCTGGTGGATGAACCGCTGCCATGCAGCCCACCTCAATGGAAAATACTATCAAGGTATGGCCAGTGGTAACTCAATACATACTGTAGTGTGTTCAAGGAACAGTTTGTCCAAGTCCAAGTGACTTTCAGGTCAGATCTGGAGGGCTAGCATGACAAATCAACCACAGTTTCAAAGGTCCAAATTCTTTTAAGTTTTGGTGTTGAATCCTTATCATAGCCCTGGGCAAGACAAGCAACTCCATGTCTGCCAGTCAATCCCTTCTAAATTCACTTTGAATCCAGAAGGGTCTGGAACCAGACCATGAGGGTGAAAAAACCTCTGTCTGGACTTGGAACGGTCCAAACACAGCCTCTAATTTGTATCACCTGACTCTCAAATGCCGAAGAAATCTCCTCTAAAAATTCTCGTAACATTTTGTCTGTCCTCTATGTTGTCTTTCGTCCTTTTTTACTCTAAAGTGACCACGTTTATTTTGACACAAATGGATGTGTTTATCTAATTGGTTAATTCACCTGTCAATAACATCCTCTGGGAGACAGAGTATGGTTTCAGACCATGGATCTATTGAAATAACTGGATGGAGTATTGTCTTGAGTTGGATTAATGGTCCCTTTTTGATACTGCCTAGAAAGCATTAAAGCAAAGCATAGAATACAGTGTAAACACAAACTGCTACCAGCACCTGCAGCTTTCATAAAGGTTGGATTTGAGGGTCAGTTTTTACCTATTTTTAAATCATAAACTTTTTCTCAGAGGTCAGAGCGGTCATGTGGTATGAGAAACCACGCTCCTTGTGCGCACACACTTATTTAGGAGTAGAGCACTATTGCTCTCTGCATGATCGACTAAATGGCCAGTCATGTTTAGGTTTGTTCCAGACCAACTCCACCATTGCCAAGCCCAACCACAGTATGGTGGATAGTTGTGCTGAAATTGACATCTGGTGTATGAAAAATAAATAAATAAATAATATGATGTAAAAGAATAAATGAATAAAGATTGCACCAGAATGGAAAACTGTTTACTAAATGTTTTAAGAATTAGTCATTTCTTTGAAAATATAATATCTGCCTTGTGTCTTCTTGTCCAGGTGGAAAGTACACAGCAAAGGATGCTGGTGACTCCGGCTTCGATAACGGCATCATCTGGGCGACCTTCCACGACCGCTGGTACTCATTGAAGGAGACCACCATGAAAATCATCCCCCTGACCCGCCTCGCAACTGGAGGCCAGCAAGGAGGCATGAAAGAGTTTGGAGGACTGGGGGTCTAAATGTGACACCAATACAAGTTCCTTTTTGAGATTATCAAATGCTTCCAAAATGTCTCCTGTCTTTTCTGTGCTTGATACTGGCCTACATTAAAGGGTACCTGATTTTTTTCCCATGTATTTGTGCAAAATTTGTCTTGCCCAAGTAATAATTTATAAGCAGCTCTTGAGGTCAAAATAAGACTGCTGTAATATGTCTGCCTCTTATTATAAAGCATTTTAGTGTAAATAATCAGGATGTAGACTGTTAGCATGCAAGCTGTTGTTAACTTTACTGTCATGTTAAACTCTGCTGAAGCCTCTGAGAGTTGTGAAAAGTGCTTTTAAACTGAGTGAATAATCACAATGATCGGAATGCATGCAATGAAGAACTTAATCATATAAAATAAATGTTTTTAAGACAGTAAAAATCAGGTACAGCACCTTTAAAAGTTCAAGAGGTCTTCCAAGAGTAGCCAAAACAAGTTAACAAATGTTTGTTTTTTGTACTTGTAAATTGCAGCAATATTACCTGACCAGCCTGTACCACATGCTTTGACAAAACTTTACAAAGATGAGTGGAGATGAGTACATCTGAACTGACAGACAAATTAACCAATCAGAGAAAAGCATGCTCTGTTTTGGTGTAAATAAACACTGTGGTTTAAGATTAAAAAAGGAAAATAAAGCACATAGAATGGTGAAACACCACAGATTTCTGCAGAATCAATATCATTAAATTGTCTGTTATCTCAGGCAAAAGAAGTTACAAGAACTCAAGAGATGTCTTCTGTATTTGAGAGGCATATGAGTCAAATTTAGAAGCTGTGGTTGGATGTCTCATGTTTGTCAGGTTTGTCAGGCTCTGTTGTCCGATTCCAGAAACTTCTGGATTTGAACAGAATGTAGAAAGGACTGGCTGGTCAGGCAAGCAGCAATATGTTGTACAAGACTAGTAAAAATAAAGCGGGTTGGAAACATGCTGGTTTGATTTGTAAATTTTTCATTTATCAAAAATACAATAAGAACAGAGTACTGTGTTGACCAGTGGTTACATATGGCTTTCCCAGTACCACCAGATCTATACCAGGACTATGTGAGGCCTAAAGTAGGGTTAAACAGGGTCTGAAATTATACTAAACCATAAGTTCTATAATGATTAACTTTACCACTCACTTTGTTAAAACTGATCATATCCTGTCAGGTGTGACTGACAGGTGGAATAACCAATCAGAGAGATGCATGTTCCATTCATGTCAAAACAAACATGGCAAGTTACATGTAAAAAAGGCAAAATAATAATAATAATAATAATAATAATAATAATAACACAAAACATTAATGATCAGTGTAGATTTACTAAGTAAAATGTTATTTATCTCAGGAAAAAAACATGTCATATGTAATAACTTTAAGCAATAATGTAATACTTCAAAAATATTTTCTTTGCCTGTTAATTTTTGTGAGAGGGAGGGGCACTAGAGACAAATTCTCAACCTTGATAAAAGCTTTACTGATACAACTACTGTCTACTGTTCGTACTAAAGGTAGGCCTGCCATGATCATCACAAAACTGTCTTATCATTCAATATATGAAATGTGGAAAAACATATTTTGGGGCTCAATATTTATTTCTACAATAGTGGGGAGAGTTTAGCCATCTTTATGTAATAATGTGAGATATGAACTGTAGAGTAACATAAATACCTTCTGTGGCTAATTATCGGTTAATTCTGACATTTACAGGTTGAATCTCATGTCTTTTAATGGTACTGTCTATTTCAACTGGTTTACTAGGATTATCGTGCGTTGTAACAGTGGTGGAGTGGTGTTGGAGCTGGTCCAATAGGAGACATACATAAGACTGAGGCTGAGGACTTGGTGGGTGTGGTACCTCTGACCTGATGGCAGCTCTTGGTTTCTCACTGACTGAGGACAATGTAAATTTCACTTGTTAGGTCTTTGGTCAAAAGGTTTTCTGTTGAAGAATGGATAATGTGACATTAATTTATGTTTTCATATTCAGATAACAAATGTTCAATGATATTTTTGTAGTGAGAACAAAGAGCAGGTGAAAGGAAACACAGAAAAAAAAATCACCTTTGGGTTCTGTAGGTGGTAGAACTAAAGGCAGTCTGGGTTCCTGGGACGTTCTCCCTGGCTCTCCAGAGGCTGCCGACTGTCCCAAAGAAAAGCTGGTCTCTCTAGGCTGAGCCCCGCAAATGGATTATCTTACACCCTCTGCTGGGTTTATTGAGTGGGATCGCTTTAAAATGTGAATCCCTGTGGACTGTAGCACCAGCAAGTGGAGAAATGAGAGGTTGGGTCACTCTGCAGTCTGCTCCTTTGAGACTGAATATCCCTTCCATTTCTCAGGTGGAGGATGGGTTGTGGAGGTTGGTATCTTGCCTTTGCTGCCAACAAGGTGCCACTATCTCCAAAAGAGCAATGGTCCTCACTTGAGGGTGTAGGTCCATGTCTGACATGTTTCTACCTCCTCAGACTGGATTGTTGGGCTTCCAAACACTCTTATTTTCACAAAGTGGAGCTGGAATGAATGAGACATCCACTCTAGCGTCCATGTTGGCATTACACATTGAAAAGTGAAAAGTTGCTTTCAGTCTTTCTGTAATAAAATGTGTGCAATCACTAGCCTAGCCAAACAACAAATAATACAGATCAGAAAATAGCGTAATATGGACCTTTTAAAATGAGAGTAACTGGTGTGACAGAAGTTATACAGTATTCATTACATTACAGATATTCAAACTGCAGAGGGCCTTGTGTACCATAAGAGGGCGCCCACACAAAACCAGCGGTACACATATCACAGATTGAGAAACAGTGGTGTAGGCGGTGCCTGTGTTTCCACAGCAATGTCAAACCCCCAAATAGGCCAAAATGTCTCAGAGGTTCCCAATTCTCACCACTGGGCTTTGTGGAGATGATTTCAGTCAGGGTGCCCTTGTCCAGTCCATAGATGTCTGGACATTCTTGCCTCCACAGACTGGTTGTACAGGGCAAATGCAACTCTCATTGTTTTGATATATACACTTGTTAATATGACATCCATCTTACTGCCTTTTTCACCCAGTTGTGTCCTGTTATTTGATTGCACTTCTTGAAAATGCAAAACATATCACAAGAGCATAGCCTACTTTGTCCATAAGTGAAACATAACTGACAGACTGATAGAGGTGCCAATCTGTGCCACTGACCCCTTCGACTCACACACATTATTCATTCTAGGCAATTTGGGTGAAGTGCCTTGCCTAAGGACACAAACTGTTTTTTTTTTTTTTTTGCCACTAACGCCCCAGTGTGGGACCTGATTTTCCAAATGGTGTCTCATCTAAGTATTAACCAAGCCTAGCCTTGGCCGCAGCTGCTACATGTAAAATGTGTGAAATGTTTTTTAAAAAGGTTCATTATATAACTTTTATCAGTGTATGTTGTGGTAATAAACATATATCTCACATTGATTAAATTTCAGTCATTTTATTGCTGAAGTCGTAGTAGTAGTTGCATAGTGAACCTTTAAGCCTGAGTCACAGTCGTATTTCCTCAAAAGTTGCAGTTCTAAGGCACCAGCACCAGATAGTCATTGGTGTGTTTCTTTTTGTTTACCACATGATTTTAGCATTGGCTCTGGGCCTATTAATTCTGTTTTTCAAATGATGAAGATGGAATTGGCGAAAACTCCAGAGAGGGGTGTACAGATCTGAGTGTAGCGAAAGAGAGGGCAGAGGTTGAATCATGCAGCCTTCAGAGTGGACTCTGATTCTCACATGCCCTGCTTAGAGCAGAATACTTGTCCAGACTTCTGCTTTTTGAATTTTGCAGAAGAGATGGATGAGAAAACAGCTTCTAAGACCAAAGTTAATTTCCCTAAAAGGTCCTCAGCACTGCAGATCATTCATTAACCAGATACCACTTCATCTGATTAAATCCACACTCTGCAGTGATATTAACGACAGTCCCTCTTTGAAAAATAACACTAATGTGGAACATTATGGGAGTAATGGAGAAGAAATCCCAACTAGAACACATAGGAGAGAGAACTAGACTGTTTAAATGTCACCCACTGGCTGCATTGCTCTTTCTCCTGTGTGAATTTTGTTGTGTGTTTTGAAGCTGAAAACATAGGGCCATGTCTTTCCACACTGGTCACAGGTGAGCCCCATTCTGTTGGAAAAATAAAATAATGTCAGGGAAGTAAAAGCCAACCATTGAGCTACCAAGGACCCTTTTGCAGATCCTGGTCTAGACTTGGTAGGGAAGGACTAGAGTAAATAATAAACCAGCATGAAAAGTTAACATATAGCCCAGTACACTACAAGAGTCATTTTAATTAATTAAACACAAAAAACACTGTAAAATGTACAAAACTACAAAACTGCAAAATAAACGATGAAACATTGAACAAAACAAAAGAAAAGAACCCACTAAAAAAGGCCACACTAATTTAATGTGATTTATTACTGTTTGAAAACCAGTGTGGTTTCACTTAAATCAATAGAATTATTCCTACGTGCCATAAACAGTGAAGGTTCTGCTGTAAGACACTTCTGTTGTTGATAATTAAAGGTTATTCTTTCAGTAATTGTTTTGCCTTAGTACAGAATGTATTGAATTATCACAGAAGTGGTGAGCAATGACCCAGAACGTTATGAAACACAATTTTTTCTTTTTCTTCTTCTTTTTTTGTTTGATTAATTTAAGATGGATATGAAATAAAAATGTTACATCATCTTTGTTCTTTCACTAAAGCCCTCTAATGTGACTTGATGAATTTGTATCAAAAGCTGTACTTTAATAAGAGTCAATACTTACAGATGGAGAGCAGGTTTAATGCAGGAGTGTTAACAGAGAGCACAGAGCTTTAAAGACCAAAGGAAAATGATTTCTGTAGTTCCTGTTAGGTCTGTGTTAGATTTAGCAGGTTCAACCCCAAACAACATTCACTGAACAGTTTAAAAGAGTAATTACACATTTATCAAAGAGGACAGTACATGCATGAAGAAGTTCCCTCTCTCTAAGATGTTACAGAGACACTTAATGTTGCAGAAAGAAAGAAGCTGATTGGTTAACGCAAAATTTTGATATTTTGTTTGGTAACCTTGTTTGCATAATGTGTTAACACAGACATTCAGTGCATTTCCCTTATTAGGAAGTACATACATAATACAAAGAAATAATAATATTACAATTATTCTGTTACTCTTCAGTCCCACCAAACTCACACCAGATATAGCTGCTGCAGAGTCCTCTGGTTTGGGTATATATGTATTATTATTGTTATTATTATTAGTAGTAGTAGTAGTAGTAATAGTAGTAGTAGTAGTAGTAGTAGTAGTAGTAGTAGTAGTAGTAGTAGTATTTATTAGCTAGAAAGAGATTATATTTTTCTCAGTTCCTCAGGTAGGACAGGGATGTGTCTCTGATGTGAAATAAGTAACACAATCGTTGTAATTCACAAATAAAATGGCATGGGGGTGGGGATCACACAAAAAAAGAATAAATCCTTTTCTATTTCATAATTCACCAAGGCTTTAATGTATTATTAGATTGTTCTGCAACATAATCGAATAAAAGGCATGCAAAAAATAAAATAAAATACTGACTGAATATAAGTGGATAGAATAAAACAGATGTTTAACAGATTGATAAAGTTTGTCCTTTAAAGCAAGGTCTTGATGTAGAGGTTCTGGATATTTGAGCATGTTCAAATGTCAAACTGCATGAAACCATCCACAAGTGATCATTGTTATACTGTTCAGTTTGGGGGGGTATGGTTACGTAGTGCTGTGGCTGATGTAGGCAAGTATTCCTAACCCTGTGTTGTGATTATTAAAGTGTATGGCTGTAATAGGATCCCTCATACATGGATATATGTATAAATACATTGAAATGTTTGTTTAAAATAAATAAATAAAATAATAAACATAATAAAATAATAATAATAATAAAAATAATAATAATAATAATAATAATGCTTTCTTTGTATTTTTTTCATGTTATGCTACTGCTATAATAATAAAAGACATATTTATTACCTGGTTGGGGTTACGGTTATGAACCGTAAGAGAGCGCGCCTGAAAGAATAACCACGCTTTGTCTTTACTTCCGGGTTATTAATATATTCGACTTCCGGTGCAACCTTCTTGCGGCGATGGTGGTGTTTTTCTGCTTTTTTGGAGTGCATGTTTCGCATTTTTAAAGGATCTAATTTTTCTTTAACCTTGGAATTCATATTGGAACATTCAGCCGCAAAATGACTGAGGTCAGGAACGTTTGTTTTACTTTTTCTTTCACCATTTTAACAATAGTTTTGAACCCGCTCAGATGCTAAGCTAAACATGTTCGTTGTATGTACGATACAAAGCCAAACCCGCCCGAGCAGGGATTTGTTATTGCACTGAGATCATTGAGTGTATGTTTTTGTACTCATCATCGTAACGCTTCCTTACCGCAGGACGTGCAGAAACACTCGGTGCACACGCTGGTGTTCAGGTCTCTGAAAAGAACCCACGACATGTTTGTGGCTGATCAGGCTAAGCCCGTCTCCATAGATGAAGAAAGGTAATGTTTTATTGAACAACCTGCCTTACATTGATTAGATCTGCTCTGTCTGAGGAAAAGGGGTGGTCCAATAGTTACCAGAATAAAGCATATTTAACGTAACCCGGGGTTGTAAATGTCCCATTCATTAGTGTTGACACTAATGAATGGGACACTAATGAATCCTCCCTACCTCTGGTGGGATTAACTATAGTTAAACATCAAAACACTAAGGGGCAGTTTTTGTATTCTCTACTGTTTAATTCTATAAAGTAAAGTGTACTCTTTGACTTCACAATTTAACAAACTGATGGCAAAAGTTAAAAATATTAGATTAGATTAGATTAGATTATGAAAACACAGTCTGAAAATATTATTTCCAGTCTTTGCAAATACCAGCAGTTGTGAATTCTCAGTACCTGCTTATGTGAACAGTGTTTTCATCAAGATGTGTATTTTTTGTATTCTATTGTTGAAAGTAACAGTATTTTCACATTCATTTCTTTTACCATGCTTTATGTTTAGCTGCACTTGTTTTGTCAGATGTAAACTTCAGAATGTTCGTATTTGATTAAAGTTTATTGTTGTTCTTCCCCAGTCACAAAATCAAGATGGCCGTCAAGTTGAAGGCTGATTATGGCCCAGTTTTACACATGCCTGTTTTGAAGGAGAACAAGGAGCGGGTCCATCAGATGCCTGGGGGAGTCCCTACTGCTCAGGGATATGCACAGCCAGGTACCAAGATTAAAGGTCACTTAAGATGTCATGTCAATGCCTTTTAAAATGTATACATTACAACAAAATAGTTACACACCCTCTCATTCAGGAAGTTTACAACTTTTTACATTTTTGTGCATTTTAGATACAGAAGACATTACTAATATGAAGCAAGATATGTGGAATAAGACAGTAGCAAATAAATTGTTAAATTATACATCAAAGTATTTTTTATATTTTCATATTCACAAGCCCAAGCTCTTGGCCTTTTCTCAATGAACTCCATGATGAAGTCTTCTGAAATGGTGCTCACTTCACAGCTGTGCCTTTTCAGGGTCAATAAATGCCCATAAAGAGTGTAAAGCAGTGACAAAGCAAACTGTTGCTATTTTATAAAATATGGAAAGTTATTTTGAATATGTTTAGTTTGCGACATTCCATATGTGTTCATTTATACTTTTGATTCTTTTCATGAAAATTTACAATGTAAATAGTCATGAAAAAACTAAGAAAAAACAAAAATGTGAAAGTGTTGACTGGCAGTGTATATCAAAGGTTAATTAGCATACAGTGGTTTATGGTAACCAAACAGTCTAAACCTTCTTGAAATTTAGGTATGGGTATATTAGTATACTTTCAGGTATGTTTTTGAATGGAATTTCTTCACTTCCATTTTAGGTGAAGAAGCAGAGTACTTGATCACCGGGACACACGCATACCCCTCTGGACCAGGTCAGTTTTGTTTTGTAAAAAAAAAATTGGTATAAAAATAAATGACAGCACAAGACAGCAGAAATTTTTGAGACCAAACAATAAAGCACAGAATAAAGTATTATCTAATATTTGCTTATTTTTGGTCATTTTCATTTTCATTCAAATTATTAATTCCACACTAAATGCAGCTCTTCAGAGGCTGCTCTTGATTGTGAGTTGATATGTGGCGTTGCATTGAACAGGTGTGGCCCTGACCGCTGAGACCAAGCTGCACAGAAACCCCAGTGAGGCAGGAGTCCAGACAGTCGCTCTGGCTTTGCCACCTTCACAAGCCAGGTACATCTTCTGAGTACATTTTAATAGCTTTTATTGGAATAATGCAAGCAGGCATCACATTCTAGAGATTAGAAGTGTAACACCATAGTCTGTCTGCAACAATATTACAGTTAGTATAGTAGAAGTAAACCCTTCAAAGTAGGAAAATGTCTTGTTACTGAAATTCTTGACCCCAGCTTCTTAGAGTATTTAATCCTAAATGTTTTCTCTGTTTAAAGACAAGAGGCGAGTCGCACCGCAGCCAGTGTCGCAGAGATCCATCGACATTATGGAGGAGAGAGGTCTCACGCTGGCACTGTGGTAAGTCACTGTTTATTTGAATTTTTTTTTTTTTTTTTTTTCGAAAATAATAATGTTTATTTTTTGCTCTTTTTTAGGCTCTTTTAGAGGGAGGTGGAACAAGAAATTCCTTGGTTAGAAGAGCTCCAACAATGCCCAAACCACAGTGGCATCCACCGTGGAAATTGTTCAGGGTGCGTGTGCTATTTCATTTGAAAAAAAAAAGTATTTCCAGCTCTCTGTCTGTTATTCATGGGTGAGGTACTTTTTTGATATTCAAAAATCTGAAAATGTAATAAATCAAGTGTCTGTTTACACCTCGATTGCCCAAAATGCTTCGTTAAGTATGCAGCGTTTGTTTGTTACTGAAACAAGGTATGTTTTTGATGAGGACACATTCTAACATAAATCAGAAAATAACGCAGTATGGTTCTTAAAGACAGTAAAAATTGGGTACAGTGCCTTAAAGATACTGTGTGTTGTGTGTGACAGGTGATAAGTGGACATCTCGGTTGGGTCCGATGTTTGGCTGTGGAGCCGGGGAATCAGTGGTTTGTCACAGGCTCCGCCGACAGAACCATAAAGATTTGGGACTTGGCGAGCGGAAAGCTAAAGCTGTCCCTCACCGGTCACATCAGCACAGTCAGAGGAGTGGCCGTGAGCACCCGCAGCCCCTATCTCTTCTCATGTGGGGAGGACAAGCAGGTCAAATGTTGGGATCTGGAGTATAACAAGGTACAGTTTGGTAGATTTTTATTATTTTCTCTAAATTCTGAAATTAAAATTTACTACAGACTGACCCACAGCCCTTTTTCAGCCACAGACCTTTAAGTGAGCTGTGTACACTATACACTAAAAAGTTCACATATTTGTCTCTAACATTAATACACAATGCAAATGTATAGATATATAAATGTACAGCATTACCATTTCATGACCTAACCTTATGAATATGTATTTTAGGTGATCAGACATTACCATGGGCATCTGAGTGCTGTGTATGATTTGGACCTCCATCCAACCATCGATGTGCTGGTGACCTGCAGCAGAGACGCTTCAGCCAGGGTGAGGACCTTAAAGACATGATATGCTTTTATCTATGACCTATGTAGATCCCTCTAAATCAGAGACAGCAGATGGAAACTAGACATTTAGTTATAATCTGGTGTGGAACAGCTCTGCTCAGCTGCTTGAATATAATCTCTTGGAACATTGTCCCTTCCAGTATCCCACAATATTGATTTAAAAAAAATAACAACAAAAACAGGCCCAATGATGACTGAGTTCCTTTGCCGTATATCAGCTTAAACATTACAACAATACAAAGTGCTGCACTGCCAAGCCTTTGCAACACTGCTGAATCCTGCATATATTGTTGTTTTCAGGGAAGAAAAACTAAATTTAGAGCAGTTTCCAGAGCAATGGCAGAACAATAGACTCTATTCACACTTACTGGATGATGACTTCTGGTGTAGTTACCGGCACTAAACGTGAATTCAACAGCAGCGGTCTTCACAATCTTCCAAAGCTTTCTATTTTTTTTACAAGCTTTAACCGTTACAGCTGTTTACAGCTTTAACTGTTTATCTGCCGAACATAAAGGAAGGTTACAATGACATCTTTTTTTTTCTAATTATGATACACAAATTAATAGCCAATTTATAAAAGGATAAAAGAAAGAATACAGTGACATCTAAATGACAAAATCTGACAAAACTGAGAAAAAGTCCTGGTTTTCTTCAGAGTTACTGTACTAATGCCAACAGAGCCCAAAGGAAGTCATCATCTGCATGTTTCCAAATGTCTTTCGGTTTTGTGACATAAGCGTGAATAGAGCCCATAACGATTACTCAAACATTAACAGTGAGTAAATGGTGAAGAGAAACCATTATAAGATACTTGCTGTGTTGTTTTGTTTTAGGTGTGGGACATCCGGACCAAAGCAAATGTGCACACACTGACTGGACACACCAACACAGTGGCCACAGTGCGGTGTCAGGCTGCAGAGCCCCAGGTCATCACAGGTCTGTTTGAATACACTTACTGCTGCTTTTACTCTGGAACACAATTCAAACAGGAATTATATTTGGAAAAAAAAAAATTGGTTACATTGTTTTGGTTATTGTTACAGGGAGCCACGACTCCACCATCAGACTGTGGGACCTGATCGCTGGAAAAACCCGAGCCACTCTCACCAACCACAAGAAGTCTGTGCGAACGCTGGTCATGCACCCCAGACAGTAAGTGCACTCAGAAGGATTGCTATTGGATTACAGGATTATTGGATGGTTTTACATTATACACATCAAACTCAACAGGTCTTCAGTTAACTAGCTGTGCCACATGGCTTTACATGGAAATTATATTTATTAAACATTTTTAGGTAGAGTGGTCCATGATGTTGTCAACCATGCCAGTTTGGATTGTACTTCTTAACATGTTTAATTTAGGGCCGGGCACGTTAACGCATTAACCTTGCGTTAACTAATTAAGTCTTTAACGCCGTTAACGTAGTTTTTATTATTTATTTTTTTTATTTTATTGTAAACGTCTGTTTCTCACTGGCTTTTATTTTGAAAAAGTCCACCGCGTGCGTTTCTTTAAGTTTTTTCAAGATTCTCCCAGAAAACAGTTAAGTTTGGTGGAGGAAAAATCCTGGTCTGGGGTTACATCCAGTATGGGGCTGTGCGAGACATTTGCAGGGTGGAAGGCAATTTCAATAGCCTAAAATATCAAGAAGTATTAGCTACCTCTTACATTCCCAACCATAAAAGGGGTCAAATTTTGCAGCAGGATGGTGCTCCATCGCATACTTCTATCTCTACATCAAAGTTTCTCAAGGCGAAGAAGATCAAGGTGCTCCAGGACTGGCCAGCCCAGTCACCAGACATGAACATCATTAAATATGTCTGGGGTAGAATGAAAGCGGAAGCATGGAAGGCAAAACCAAAGAATCTTGATGAACTCTGGGAGGCATGTAAGACGCTTTCTTTGCTATTCCTGATGACTTCATCAACAAATTGTATGAATCATTGTCGAACCGCATGGATGCATCCTTCAAGCTCATGGAAGTCATACAAGATATTAAATATGGATCTCACAGCCCCACTACTTAATTCACTGACGTTATACAACATATTTTTGTATTTGAAGTAAATTATTTGTTAAATTTTCTGTGACAAAACTTTTGTCTTGCCAAAATCTGACCTTTCTGTGTTCATTAAATGATCAATCTTTCTTCAGTGAAGCAAATTTATTTTAGTATATTGAGCATAATTTGGGAGGGTTTTAGCTTTCATATGAGACATTTCTAAAACCAATCGATTAATTTAAAGTCAGGTTATAAGCTTTTGTTTCTACAAAATGGATAAGCGACAAGACTTTTGTCAGGGACTGTATTGTGGTAAAAGAAAGTACAAAATCTTAATACATACACTCTAAACAGTGATCTCTCATGCTTTTCAGATACACATTTGCCTCTGGCTCTGCTGACAACATCAAACAGTGGATGTTCCCTGATGGAAACTTCATTCAGAACCTGTCGGGCCACAACGCCATCATCAACACCCTGGCCGTCAACTCTGATGGAGTGCTTGTGTCTGGAGGTACTGTGCTCTGATTGAAATGCCCATTTGACATTACATAGGCCACAGTTGAAAAATCTTAAGAATATAATCTAATTTCATTGCACCAATTGACTTTATTGTTTAATGCCATACTGTGAAACATTATATATGACATCTCCATGAAAACTGTTTTTCTCCTGCTGATAATCTTCTTTATTATGTCTGTAGCTGACAACGGCACCATCCACATGTGGGACTGGAGGACGGGCTATAACTTTCAGAGGATCCACGCAGCGGTGCAGCCCGGGTCTCTGGACAGTGAGTCTGGGATCTTCGCCTGTGTGTTCGACCACTCTGAGAGCCGCCTGATCACAGCAGAGGCAGACAAAACCATCAAAGTGTACAAGGAAGATGACACAGCAGTGAGTGTTTGGCAGTGTTCTAATGTGTGCATTGTGTCACCAATTGTAGCTGCTGAACATTCAACCATAAACAATAGGTTATTTCAATGTTTATCATTTGTTGTGTTCTTTTGCAGACTGAAGACAGCCATCCAGTCAATTGGAAACCAGAAATCCTCAAGAGAAAACGATTCTGATTTTTTTTTTTTTTTTTTTTTTTTTAATACATTTTATTTCACCTTTCTTTTGTACTCTTGTCATGTCAGTACAGTTTTTCATTTCATTACATGAATGGGGAAAGGTCTATGCTACATGAACTCAGTTTAGAAACCATTTGCAGTCCTCATTGTAAGACTCCCGTCCTACGAGACCACCATCTTGGATGGCTAGAAATTGTCCGGAGTTTTTGTTTTTGATGATAACGGCTCTGTGTGTGCTGTGGTCTGACTGGTCCATTAGAAGTATCCATTCTTCACACTTGGACTGACCAGACACAAGGAAAACCTGGTCTGAGATGGGGTCATGACCTGAAGGGGAAAAAAAACAAAATATGTCTATTACTTGTACACAAACGTAAATGAATCCCTCTGGTTTATTTTGTCACGTTGGCCCCTTAATAAAATCCATTTTTCATAAATGTTTGCTCTCCGTTCTTACTAAGGTATCTCTTCGTTTGGATGTTGCGGTAGAACTTGCACCTCTGACATTTGACCTCCTCCCAGTAGCAGTGACGTGCAGGAAAGTGTGTGAGTCCCACTGGAGTTTTCTCAAAGTCTGATTCAGGAAGTTGCTCAGCTGGGGAAAACGGCAAAGTAGTGTGGTTTAGCACTGTCCTGTTTACCAGATGAGATCCCAACAGTTACTTTGACAATTACTCTTGAGAATAATAAAACATTTAGTCTTATTTAGTCTTAGACTTTCCAGATGCTCCACGTTGCTTTACAAATATGTGCATAATTCATTCACTTTGTTCTTTGCAGTAGTAAGTTAGTAGTGTTCTCATGATTCTAAAATTTTTCAAAATTTCCATGATTATGATAGCACAATGAAGATAAAACATGATCCCTTTAAAGTAATAGAATGTGATTTTTATACCCAAAATAGAACAGTTCCAGTATTTATGTCACCATGAGGTCTTAAGCTTGTTCTGATGAAGCTCAAAATGATTGTTCAACTCAACATTTGTCCTGTTAATGTGATTTTGTTCAAATTGGCAGTTTGATATTAGTTTTAGTTTCCATTAGTATATGATTTTTGATACTTCTGGTGACTTTAAGCTACTATTGCCACAGGTGCCCTGGGACACAGACAGACTACTGTTGTCCCTGTGGTCTCTCATCCAAGAACAAACTTTTACTTCCATTACTTCTATTTGAGTAATATTCTAAACAGTGATTCTGACTTGAATAAGTTGCACTACCTGCCTCTGACTGGACCAGGACTAAATATGTTTAGAACAGGATCAAACTGTGTCTATATCAGGACTAAACTGGTATCAAACCAAGATTAATCAGGACATTATGACCATTTTGTATCTGGGTAGCAGTTACACAGTTTTGATTGTGGCTGGTTACAACAGGAAGGGTTATAAGAAGAATTGTGTATATACATTTATGATGTTGATCATATGATGATCTGTAATTAAACAGCAAAAATAAATAATATTTTTATGTTCTTAAATATTGATAATGAACAGTGGGAGGTTTAGGTGTCTCACATGGCAGCCATGTGCATGTGTAAATAGCTCCACACGTCCCTGTCATAAAGGAGATCTCTGGAGACGTCCTGACTTTATTAATTCATCAAAGCCCAGGCCCCCTCAGGACAAGCCCCCTAATGACAATGCGAGTGTTATCACATCTCCTGAATATACATCATGGACACATGTAGGCTGTTAACATTTCCTTTGTCTCTATAAAAAGAATAGTTTTTCTCCCTTTGTAAAACCACTTTCAATTAAGCTGATTTAATTTTACCTTTTTCTAATTTAATTAAATATGTATTATTTTGTTTTTCTTTTCATTTCATCTGGCATGCCTAAAATCTCTAAAGGTAATTATGACATGAGGAGGTGTGTAGCCTGCAGTCTTACTGGTTTAATTAAAAAAAGGAAAGACAATTACACTGAGCCTGCCGGGGTCACCAGTGTCTTAATCTGCATAGAGCAGGGCTCATGTTGGGCTGTGAGCATCGTCTTGAGGGCTGCACAATCAATATATGATTGGGTCCCAAGTTACCTTGTACAGAAGGTTGGGCTGCAAACATGAAAAGGACCCCTGATCCATGCACAAGTTTCTCATTCTCAGTAGGCCTGTATGGACAAACCATGTCTCGTGTGAAAGGTCAGAACCTCCAGAGTTCACTGAGCTGCAGAGGCTGCACTAGCACTCATGGCTGAAGGTGCTGGGGTTGTAGGTTTTTTTTTAAGTTTAAGTATTTCCAACTTATGTGTTAAATGTGTCTAAATCAGTCTGATTTCTGATTGGATGATTGGATGATTGGGGCATGGATAGACATTTTAAAGGAAATACCCAAACACATTCCTTTAAGTCACAACACATGGAAGACCTTGTAGTTATTGTGTTATCTGATCTATCCAATGTTGTAATGGCTATACTTTAGATAAAAATGGTTCAGCCCTCCTCACCTGTGTCACAGATGTAGAGCTCAGACAGAGCGTGACAGAATCCACGGCCTGGTCTCCTCTTCAGTTGCTCTTGGGCTTCCTCTTCAGTCTGTTTCACTGTGATCATGTTACCAGTGGTAAAAAGAAGCTCTGCTTTGAGAGAGTGAAGACACACCTCAAACCTCTCCTCATCTGTGGCTGCATTTCTAAACAAAAGTGAGAAATTCATGGCACTCACGTATTTCTTTTAAAGAGGGAGTATTACACTTCTGTGGGATATTAACTATTAACTACTAACACATAACTCATTTAGATCACCGTGTTACCTTTTATTGTTTTGAAAATGCTTAATTTGCCGAAAACAATGTATTAAAATGTTTCAGTAAAAAAAATTTTCACAGTGCCTGATTCAATCACTCCACACTCAGTGGTGGTACAAAGGTAGCCACAGCTGTCCTGGGCAGACACCAGTTTCACACGAGGAAAGGTGGTGAAGTGTCTTGCATAAGGACACAACAAAATAACTTGGTCTGAGCAGAAATTGATTCTCCAACCTTCAGAGTGCGGGGTTCACTGCTCTAAACAATACTTTTGTAAATTGATTTTTATGCCTCAACAAACTTACCTGAAGTCTACACAGAGCAGGCCCGCGGTCATGAGGCCCAGCCACTCACTGGGCTCCCAGTTATTGGTGAGTATGACAGGGACCATAGGCACCTGGCAGCTGTCTGCGTGACTCAGCTCCTTCTTACAGCTGCGCGACGCCTGGTACGCTGGGGTCAGGAAGGGGCACACCACCACAGCCTGCTCCACACCAGCAGCCATCCTAATCACAACAGCCACGCAATTCAGCAGACCACATATGAACTGATGTTTTGGAAATAAAATTTTCCTGAAAGCTCAATTTACTCAAACAAGCAAAAGCTAATTAGTGAGTCTACTACTCACTAGTAGTTTATTTGGTCATTTGCAGCGTCACAAAGATATCCTCAACTTGATTTAAAAAATGACATGACCAAAGGGTTTAGGCTGAGGTAAAAAATATTTATATTAATGCCTAAACCTATTAAATAACATGACACATGAATTAATTTCTAATTCTTGATGGTTTACTGAAAAGTCTTAATTAAATTAAATGAAAAAATCAAATTTATCAAGACATGACCCTAGTGATCTAAGGAGCGAACATTTATATATTATTTATACATTTATATATTATTTTGATGGTTAGGCCATCCTGAACCTCATCTGCAGCTATAGTTTTCCTATTAATCACTTTGCATCTCAATTCTGCATCCATATACTGTATAATGTAACTCCCACACCTTTTTACCATAATGTTTAACATTATGTACTCTGTTGTTATGTACTCTGTTGAGTGCTCTGTACTCTGTTGTACTCTGTTAACATTATGTATGTATGCTGTTGAAATGGATTATTCTAAAGGCTTCATCCATATTAAAACATTTGAACTAATCATCAATATTTGGCCCCAGAGCCACAGCTTGGACACCTCTGTGTTACGGGGACATAAGGGGAAAGGCTGTCACTAATACTGCAAGCAGAAAGGGTATACATTTTAGTTCAATGCTACATTTGGGGAATAATTTGTACTTACACGTTGTGAATATTCCCAGTCACCCCTCCTTCTATGTCCATCCACACAGGCAGTCCATCTTCTTTCAGGTGGTCAAAGATTTTCTTCACCACAGCCTGGTCATCCCACTGGTATGACAGCATGATATGGGATGGCATTTTTATGATAACTTGAACTTCCAGTACTTGGTAAAAGACACTTTCACTTCCTGTGTCCTATAGCGGTGCTGTCAGGTGACTCTGGCACAGGGAGGCTCTGGTTACATGTGTTGCCATGGGAAGAGGTCTAGTTGGACATGAGATACTGACAAATACTTTTATCATCTCATCAGAGAAGTAGAACAAACAATACAAAACAATCACACAAAACATCCGCTGTGTGGGGACACCACTAACTAGTGATCCTCCAGGGAAAGTCCTTACTTGTTTTCCACAGGGTACATTATTGCACTATGTAATTTTTCTAGTGGAGGGTCTGCCACCTGCTTGTCTCCATGGAGAGCTTATTGTTTTGCTTGGAATTTTACACATTAAGGAAATATACATGGAAGTCAAATAAGCCAAGTTAGAGGTCAGATCTGTGAAGAGGCAAGCCTCCTTATAATAAGAATGCATGTTTTTATAGATATTTATATTGCAGTAGAACACAAGCAGGACAAGTGCAATGGCTTATTTTGGAATATAACATCTCCATGGGGCCAACCAGGTGGTGGAACCCCTACCCAGTTATATAGTTTGATATTATAATTTGCAGTGTATTAAAGTTATTAACTATATTCTTTATGGTCTGCGTATAGATGAATTGTCCTCTGCATTGGGTCTTTACTTTTGACAATCAAGTTTACACCGTAAACAGAAAAAATAAATAAAGTGATTAATTGATTTGGTCAGTAGATGGAGCTAGTTAAACAATAAACTAAATAGGTTGAGACTCGTTAGAAGTTGTTTAATTTAATTTCTTTACTCCTAGCTTCGACCAGCACCACTGTCTGATACAACATTTGGATACTCAACATTGACAGGCGTAATATGTTATTTCTCAAACACACGCTTCAATTCGACACTTGACAGTAGATCTGATTCATACAGTCTATGAATCTGACCATGATCCTGGCGCGCCCCGAGTCCTGGTGGTCACGTGGCGGCAGTGAAGATAATCTGTCGGCCTAATTAAATCTGAGGAGATCGGGGCCACAGATGTCGCGTGTGCGTCCCGTGCGCGCACAGTTTGAGACCTGAGATTCACGCACAGCATTACGCGCAAGTGAATAAAGTTACTATTACGTCTTCAGCAATGGAAATCATGGGAAAAGTTGAGCATCGATTGTAATTCCTCCATGCTTTTTGTCTTCGCGATACAGAGATTTTTCGGTGTGAACACAACAGGTTGGCCTACACGAGTTTGATAGTGCAGGTTGGTAATATTTAGTACTTTACTTTACAACTTGTCTACTGATTTATATGGTCATTTTATCTATAACTATCTATCTATAACTTTTTTTTTTCTTTTTTTCTGGTGTTTAGAAACGCTACTTGCAATTTTACTTTAAATATAAACCAATATTTATCCTCAAACAGTGTGAAAAGAACTATTTAACTTTTGGATTAGTTGTGGCTTTATTAATAACCATGTACAATTATCATAACTCTAATTCTGGAGTGTGGAAATTAACAGAGAGGTATGATTAAATTACCTTCAATTACTGTGTTTATAACGGGGTAGACGGGTTGGTTTTTTTCACTTTGTAATAGTTTTTCCTGTGCAGAACTGAATCAAAATAGAGAAGTCTTACACATTTCAGCCTCTGGGCAAGCCTCATTTTATGTGCCCCTGCATACTGCATACTGCATACTGCATATTCATATACTCATATAATATAGATATACCAGTCCAAAGTTTGGACACACCTCCTCAGAAGACATCAAATATATGAAGAAGATATGTGGAGATTATGAAAGAGATGAAGATTATGTAGCAAAGAAAAAAAAAACATTTAGACTGCATTTTATATTTAAAATATATTTTATATATTTCTTAATGAGCTTCATCCTGAAATCCCCTGAAATGGTTTTCACTTCATACGTGAACCTTATCAACATTAAGGAATGCCAAGATTGCAAAGGAGTGATCAAAGCAAAGCATGTCAAAATCTAAAATCTAAAACAAGTTTCAAGTGGTCATGAAAATAAGAAAGAACACTAATGTGTGTCTAAACTCTTTTTTTTCTCTCATTTTTTTACATTTTCTGAAATTGTATGTATTCTCTTTGCAGAGTTCCCATTATGTAAGGCAAGAATGACTTGGATATTACTCCTCCTCCTCACCCTCTGCCTCCTCCCTTATCTGTGCTGGGGCCAGGTGTTCAACTTAACCCTGTCCCCCCAAGAGGGCCTCCCAGCGGGAACGATCGTAGGAAACCTGGGGGCCGTCCTGAGCCAACCCAGCACTGGCTTCTTCATCTCAGAAAGCCGGGATTCTGATGTTTTCAAGGACTTGGAAATTGACGCAGACACTGGCATAATTTCCACTGCCATCATTTTGGACCGTGAAACCAGGGATGGGTACGAGTTTGTGGCAGCTACATTAACTGGCGAGATGATACGGGTGAAAATTGAAGTCAAAGATGTGAATGATCATTTCCCAAAATTCCCAACAGAAAAATATGACTTAGTAGTTTCTGAATTGAGCCCGCTTGGAAGCCGCTTTAGGGTGGATGGTGCTAGAGACCAAGATGTTGGCGAGTTCGGGATCCAAGGATATCGGATTACACAAAGAAACATGGCCGACCTCTTTGAATTGGACTACCGCGCCAATATGGACACCACCCATAGTCTTTATCTAGTCTTAAGAACCAAACTAGACAGGGAATCATGCGACTTCTTTTCACTAACAGTTGAAGCAGTGGATGGTGGAATCCCTTCCAAAAGTGGTACAGTTCAGGTAAATATTCATGTCCAGGACGAGAACGATAACCCTCCAGTATTCAACCAAACAGAGTACCACACTGTAGTTATGGAAGATGCAGAAGCGATGGTTGCCGTGTGCCAGGTCCATGCCACAGATCAGGATTTGGGTGAGAATGGAAGAGTGACATACGAGCTCAAGAGTAACCCCGGTGAGGTTTTCTACATCAATGAAAGTTCTGGAGTGATCCATCTGAACAAGCCCCTGGACTATGAAGAACAGGCTTACTATGAGCTGATCGTCATTGCCAGGTAATTCTGGAAAAGTCAGGCAAACCTATTATTATTAAGCTATTATTTCTGTTCCTTTTTTTCACTACAGGGACAATGGAGCCCAGCCAGAGTTCAGCAGTGCTTTCGTGGGCATCAAGGTCCTGAACATCAATGACAACAGCCCCACCATCCACATCCTGTTCCTCAGTGAGTCCGGAGAGCCTACTGTGTCTGAGGCTGCCTCTATTGGAGACTATGTCGCCCGCATCTCTGTGTCCGACCCCGACCTCCAGAACCAGCCAATCAGCGTGCAGATCCAGGGAGGAGACGGGAAGTTCACCCTCAAACAGACAGATGACTTCCTGTATGCACTGCGTGTGGAATCGGAGCTAGATCGAGAAGAAAAGGACTTGTATGAGATTAAAATTCAAGCATCAGATGGTGATTTGCTAAATTCTGAAGAGGTTGTTTTGCTGAAAGTGCTGGATGTCAATGACTGTTATCCAAAATTTGATAAAAATATATACACTGTGAGCATTCCAGAGGATGTGCCACCTGGAAGTTCTCTTGTCCAAATGCAAGCCAGGGATGAAGATGAACCAGGCCCGAATTCCCAGATTAAATATACAGTTCTGAGGTCTAACTGGGTCGGATTGGTGAGTGAGTCAATGGAATAATGTTAATATTCATGTGTTGTGACAAGGGTGAAAAGAGGCATTGCTTTATGGTGGTTTCACTTATAGATGCCACAGAAAAGTATATGATTGTGTGTTTGAATGGGTAAGTGGTTCCTTGGAGGTTTCTTGGAGCTAAAAAAAAAGTGCAACAAGATATAATGTCTGTTAAGTTCCATTTATTTTCATTCATACTTATGTAATATGATCTTATGACCTGAATTTCAATTTCATTTCTTTAATAATAATTACATTATATTAGATACTTTTCCAGGGGTAAACCACCAGACTCTCCTGCTTTCAAAACTGCTTGCCACAAAATAATTTTGTTTGTTACATTTAAGCAAAATATCCATAGAGATTCATTAGCCAAAACATAAATGGCATTATAAGAGTCCTTTTGTAGCTGTTATTCATTATTGTAATAATTATTGTCATGATTACTTCAAACATAAGTAATATTCCTATCCTCCACAGGTGAGTGTGGATTCTCTGACCGGTCTGGTGGCCACAGCGGGGGCTCTGGACAGGGAGAGCCAGGCAGAGCTCTGGTTCCTGGTGGTGGCCTCAGACTCTGGAGATCCGCCCCTGTCGTCCACAGCAACAGTGACTATTCTCCTGGAGGACGTCAACGATAACGAGCCCGTGTTCTCACAACCACGGTACGATGTCAGCCTGCCAGAGCACAGCCCCATCAACAGCTGCTTCTTACAGGTGAGAGGCAAAATGGTTGTCAAAGTGATATTGGGTGGTTGAATGGTACTTAATGGAATTAATTACTGGTTTAAAAAAGGTACAATCACAGCTGAGCCTGGGATGCCTTAGCCAGAATATTGAGGACACATACTAGTTTTTCTTATTCTCACTATATCGACAGTCCTCATGTGAATGCTCAGAACCTCCAGAAATCACTCACTGCAGAGGCTGCACTAGCACTGGTGAATTATTATTTATATTATTGCCACATATTGCATATTTCTGCGATAGTTTTGAGTTGATAGCTGCCATGTTGATACGTCATCATCCCCCACTTCCCTCACGGTGGAGCTTATAGAGGCAGCCACACACAGAGCAGCTCCTGCTTTGGACAAACAGCTGACTGACCTGCACTCAGCACTCAAGATCTGGGAAGGATCACCTCCAAGAGGGAAAAGTGGGCATGACTATATAAAGAGCATCTGAGCACATCTGAGAAGGCAGAAGTCCATCTGAACGTGCATGTTTGTAAAGGGCTATAGTGAGCGTGAGGAGTGTTTTCTCTCCCTTACTATAGTGATGACAAATGAGGCCTTCTTTCACTCTAGTCCACACAAAGCATCAGTGTTAGTGCTGATATGACAGACGCCTGGTACCACTCTGCTGCTGACACGAGCTGCACTACCTCACAATACAAGTCTATGACAAACCACTGGCTGCATATAATACATTCTAATAGCAGCTGATCTTACAAGTTAAACTCGCTGTACCCGACCTCTACAGCTGGAAGGCTGTGAGTTCAAACCTTGCCTAAATAGTCACTTATATTTCCAATATGTTATATTTCTCGCTTCATCTACTTCACGTACTCATAGGGCTTTTTATTATGACATGTTTATTTGTATAGCACAATTCATATACAAAGTAATTCAAAGTGATTTACAAAGAAAGACGTTAAAATCACAATACAAACAAATAAAAACATAAATAATCATCATAAGATTAACATTAAAAGAGAAGAGTGCAGAATAAAAAACCATTCAGTCATATACACAGCTAAATAGAACCATTTTGAGCCTAGATTTAAACAGTTAAACTAAAGGTCTGTCTCACATTTCCAGGTTTTAGCTGCATAAAACTTAAACTCCCAATGTCCTGACTCTAGGCACCAGCAGGAGGCTCGTCCCTGAGGTCCTCAGAGTGTGAGATTGTTCATATGGCACTAACATGTACTTTGGTGTTGCATGGAGACACTTGTACACAAGTAGAGCTGCTTCTGCTCTAGAATCCTGCAAAGTCACAAAGTGCAAATAAAACAATGTTTACGTAATATATGTAAAATGTAAAAAAAAAAAAAAAAGTTGTAGTAAACATTACTTCGAAGTACTGGTGTTTTTGAGCGCATAGTGGGTGTGACTATATAGACTTTGCACAGTTCATAAAGTACATTTATGAGTATTCAGAGAGGGCAAAGGTGACTCACACAGCTCTGTGTACATCACATACTACACTGGATCTGTAGTTTTATGCTTTTATTGTGTCAGCTTTACTTTACCTTTCACTTGAAGCACATCTTATTTACAACATCCACAGGTGGCACATGACATCATCTATCTAAGGCACAATGTAGTAGGTTTAATGTATTCTTTGTGTACTTTACAAGTGTTGTACAAAATAGTTACAATGCAAACATTTCTAACTTAATTTAGAAACTAAGGAATACACTCAATACTGATTCTGATTCCTACAATGATTAAAAACTAAAAAGAAGAAAAAAAAAAAAAACTTTATTTTGACAATAGAATATCATTTTCAATCACAAATAATAGTACTTTCTTTTATATTACCTTGATGCATGATCTGTGTAATCTCTCAGTCACCCTGTATGTTCCATAGTGGTCTATGGGCATATACTGGTGTATGTGGTTTTATACATGTTATAATACAGTTCAGGATAATTATAAAACTATTTAGGGAAGGTTAATTTTTTTCCTGCAAATGTGACTTTTTAGTATTGATTCCTGCTATAATGAGCAATGAGCATGTAGTTTTGATAGTAGTTTTAGTATTTATATACTTTTGACAATCTTAGTACAGCGTCTCAAGACAAGGCAGCCAACAAGTCTTGAGAATGTAGCTTCCCAAAACTTTTTTCATATGCCTCAAACACACACAGCAGAGAGAGAAGGACTGCTGGTCTATAGAGTGAATGGAATGAATTTAGCTGCTTATACATTTGTTAAAGGTCATAATGGTAGAGGATTTATAAAACTGCAGTAAAACCTACTACTAATGATTATTATGGTCATTTCACCTGGAAGCTAAAGTTTACATATTCAAAAGTAAATAGATTTACATACAGTTGAAGGCCTTGTACTCAATGTGGTTCCACGGGCAGATTAAGAAATCAGAGAGAATCATGGTTCATTCATGTCAAAACAAACATTGCAGCCTAAACAGAATGAACAATTAAAGCACCAAACTTGCATTTATCTCAGGTAAAAGAAGTTATATGTATGAGAATTTGTGAGAGGAGATGTCTTCAGACATGTATGAGACACATGCTACAAATTAGCGGCTGTGCTTGGACTGTCCCAAGTTAGGAGAAAAGTTTTTCAGCTCTATGTTCCGGTTCCAGACTCTTCTGGATTCAAACAAAATACTTTCAAACAAGGCACAATGTAAATTCTATTAATCAGAGAAAAAGTTATACAGACACTTTTATTTACAAGCACAACTTTCCAAAGGTTTCCTTGTCTTTTTCTGTCCTTAGATTTATTATATATTCTTCTTGACCTCTGTGCGCAGGTTGTGGCCACAGACTTGGACACGTCTGATTTTGGCACACTGCAGTACTCTCTCACTGATGGATTTGAGCGCATAGAGCATCCACTTTTCTACATCCAGCCCCACACTGGACACCTGTGCGTGTCCCAGAACATAGACCGAGACCTGGGGCACACTGTCCACGACCTCCTAGTGAAGGCGCAGGACCTTGTGAGTACTGAATACTGTAATGTTTTTATTATTAGTCAGTATGTCAGATAATCTTACATTGCATTTATCCTCATCTATGACATAAAATGCTCTTTTTTCTTACAGGGAGGCCTCAGCTCTCAGACATATGTGCACATAGACATAGAGGATTTGAATGACAACGCTCCAGTGTTCAATCCTACCCAGTACACAGTGAGCCTGAGCAGCCACTCCCAGCCCGGTACAGAGGTCCTCACGCTCATCGCCACTGACCCCGACTCTGGTCTGTACGGTCAAGTGACCTACCACCTGCTGCCTGAAAACATGTCCTCTCTTTTTACCCTGGACACACACACAGGTACATGAGTGCAATTATATCATTTGTAGTCTTATGTATGAGTTATTAAAGGGTAACTTAAGATCAAGGGCCTTAGTTATTAATTCATGACTTGTGCAATTTGTGGGTGTGTTGTCCGTGATTTACCATCAGGAATTGTGTGTATTTTTTCTGCCATAAATTTTTATCCTTATCAATAGAATATGATTTTCCACATTAAATCATTGTGCTTTCTTTTATATTACCATGTATCCTTATATCTGTGTATTCCCTCAGTCATCCAGTTGGCTCCATAGTGGTCCATAGGTATACTAGTCTATCTGGTCTTATACTTTCTGATACAGCTCATTCTAAAGCTATTCACTAAAGGTAAATTTTTGCCTGGTGAATGTGTCTTTTTAGTATCAATACCTGCCCAAATGAGGATCTAGTTTTGATACTAGTTTTAGTATAGATTAGTATCTGATGTCTGATACTTTTGACAACCCTATTTGTGATATGATCTTGATGGCTTATTCCCCACCTCTGACTACACCTTAGTGACCTTTGAGCCAGGCTCTTTCCATCAGTAGGTTGTGTGACTGGTGTTGGCAGTATTTAAGGATGAACTAGGACTTATGTGTGTAAGTCCTCATGAACTGATTGTTATTGTCACAGCTCTGCAGGGAACTTCAGGACACTTTGTAAATCCCTGTCCAAATCCACATCTCAGCAGCAGTTGGTCTTCCTTCTAACATATTTCTTGTTAGTGGTTACTAAACTAACAAAAACTTAAACTTATATCAAAGTAATCTGTAATGTAGGCTACTTCTAGTGAACTGGGTAAACTAATTTGAAATATGAATTTTATATGCTATAATGATTTACAGCAGGCATAGTCTTTAAATCTCTGTGGCAAGGTGGCAAGAGAGTTAATCAAAGGGATTTGTGGGTTAATTAAAGTAAAAAGTCCATAGTCGACCATCTGTCTTTACATGTTGTGCATATATACATACCTAGATCTGCCTGTTATTTCACTGTCAACAGTCTACTTTAAACTTTTTTATATAATGTATATGCATTATTTCTAAATTATGCTTGTTAATTTACTTTATTTATTCTGCTGCTCTCCTCATCATAAGAAAGGGCTCTGAGGATAGAGTGTCTTACTCAATACAGTATGCTTGGGTAGGAATCCAAGCACCTATCCTAGTCCTTTATACTATACTGTACTATCTTCTGCTCTGAATTCTAAAAAAAAAAAAAAAAATGTGCACACATTTTTATATTGAGTTTCCACCTAAAAATAGATACATAATGGGTAAGTATCAGAGGCTGTGCTAGAGTCACTGTGAAAATTGCATTTTTTATTTTTTTTTTGCTATTTTCATCCATCAATATGTATTTACTGCATGTGTACCACAAATTGTCTTACAGTGATTCATTATTGAGTCATGGTATTTCTTTGTTACAGATGTAAAACTGCTGTCATGCTCCTCTCTGAGCTTTGTGCTAATCAGAGTTATTGTTAACATCCCTGAAAGCAATATACAGTTCTAATAATATCATAAAACTAATGTCTTATAATAACGGCAAAGGAAAAATTCAATTTGTCAGCTGGATAAATGTTTGTTGGTCAAATATGTTTCGCAGCTCATCCAAGCTGCTTCTTCAGTTCTTATAATAACAATTGCCACATCACATAAAGCTGCTGTGTCTTGTCCAGGAGTGCTGTACCTGGCGTCAGGCCTGAGTCACCTGGGAGCAGTGAGTGTGAGACTGTCCATCAGCGCACAGGACGGGGGCGGCCTCATCTCCTCCGCACCAGCAGAGGTTACTGTGCACGTCCTGAGCAGCAGCCAGGTCCCAGCTGTGTTCCAGAGGTCACGCTACACCTTCAGCGTGCCTGAGGACACCGTCCCGGGGACATCTGTAGGAACTGTGCATGCCACCCATACAAACGGTCAGTATGAGCAAAGTCAGCTAAGTTTAGTTTCATTTGTTTGTCCATTTATATGGTCACCTAATTTGAAACATTACCTTAAACCGTTTAGTAGTGTTTTTCTGACTTTGTTCATTGGGAATATAAGAAAGAAAGGAATTTATGTCTTTAGTTGTCAGCAAGACTTATTTCAAGTGCAACAGTGGGATAACAGTGCAAGCCATTGTTGTGTCCTTGGGCAAGACACACACATGACCTGGTTTGAATGTGGTGTGTGAGCAGTGGTCAGATGGACAAAGGGACTCATTCCCATCAGTCTGTCCCAGGGCAGCTGTGGCTACTATAGTATCATGAGTAGGGTGTGAAGAATGAATAATGCTTGAAACTGTTAAATGAAAAGTGTTATATAAGACTAATGCCGTATAATTATTATTAAATATATTTTCAGACATCAATATTTTATAGAGCAATTTTCAATTCCTTTCACTTACAGAACACTGGTGTTGAAGTACCTTACCTCAGAGGAACATATGACAACTGTGTCTGTATTCAATAACCCACCTAATATAACAGAAAATGTTGTTCAGTATTATTGTATTTCCTTTATAGTCCAATATAGGCCTACTGTGTTGGATGCCTCTCATGCTAAGTGTGCTAAGCGTGTTAAGATCTCCAGTTTTGGGGGATAATCTCCACTTGCTCCTAACAGCCAGCTCACTGTGGCAGACAGTCATTTAAGGCTGTCTCCTCAATTATCAGATTAGAGTCAGAGCTCAGAAGTGGGGCTGTTGGTCAGTCGGACTCCCAACTGTTCTGTGGATTTACCGACTGTATAGTTGTAGAATAATACAAATTTGAGGGTGGCGGTGGTAGTAGTAGTAACTAGCAGGAATCACACTAAAGCTTTGTTCTTATTACATATAGGTCAGTATTGGTTACATTGGAAATCTTCCATATATTTCAGTTGTTTTACTAGTATAATATGTACTCATTGGACAACATGTGTTGTAATTAAGGAGATTTAATGTCTTAAGAAAACAGTATTCTAGGCTATGTGCTGGCCTCAGTGCATGAGATTTATTCCTGTTTACCATAATTTGTTTAATATCTCTCCCCACTTTTCACCTCTATTTCCCCAACTATACTGTCCTGTCAAATAAAGGACTGGGGTCAACAATGTTTTTCAAAGGTACACTATGTAACTTTTTTGATTGGGGTCTGCCACCTGCTTGTCTCCATGGGGATGTTATTGTTTTATCTGGAATGTTCCACAGTATCTTGCCTCTTCAATGTAATGGCCCTGTGGCATCACTTGCTTGTCTCCATAGGGATTAATAAATGTGATGTTATACTGTGGAACATTCAAGGCAATGCAATAATATATCCATAGAGAATAAAAGATGACAAACCCTTCACCAGGAAGGTTACACAGTGCACCTTTAACATGTAATAATTAATTTAAATTTTTGAAAAAGGTCTAGACAATGAGAGCTGAGTTATCCCAAATATTTTATCCACCTGCTCAAAATTACTCATTATTTTGCAAGAATTACTTATTTCTATCACGTCTACAGGTTCTTGGGAGTCCATATCCTACCACATCTCCTCCGGTGACCCCCTGGGCTGGTTCACAGTGCACCCTGATACTGGCCTCCTCTCTACCCTCAAACCTTTGGACCATGAGACCCACCCTTACGTGCTCCTGGTTCTCCAGTGTTCAACAAATAGCTCTCCTGTTTATAGCATCACCCAGGTCAACATTTCTATCTCTGACATCAATGATAATGCACCAGTCTTCCCCCAAATGAGTGATACTATTACAATTTCCAAAACCGTAATTCCTGGCACCATCCTCTTTATTGCACATGCGCACGATTATGACAGCGGTGCAAATGGGAGAGTTAAATACAAACTGGAAAACTCTCAAAATGGCACATTCGCTGTTAATGCTAACTTGGGAACACTAACACTGAATAAGAGCATACAACAAGACGCTAAGCTAAAGTACGCACTGGAAATAGTGGCTGAGGATGAGGGAGAACCATCACTTTCAACGACTTTTAGCTTAACCGTCAAAGTAGAACACAACATTGCGGAAAATAGTTTAGCTTTTGAGACGCTGATTTATCAAGTGGAAATAGGAGAAAGCTACAGAAAAGATTCCAGAGTCATCCAGGTGAGGGCACACCAAAGCAGAGGGTACGCTTTAACTTCTGGTATAAGCTATTCCATTGAAAATGAAAATGGCTTCCCTCCAGCTCCTTTCCGCATCCATCCCAGGACCGGCTGGTTGTACTTGGCCCAGAGTCTGGACTATGAGACTGAAACAGCGTATAGGTTTCATGTGCTAGCTACAGCAAGCGATGTGGGACAAGGAAACATGACCGCGACAGCCACAGTTAGCGTGCTAGTGTTGGATGTGAACGATAATGCCCCAGTGTTCAGCAGGGAGGTGTACTACTTCACAGTGCCAGAGGGGGCAGCACTGCAGGGCCTGGTGGGGTCAGTCCGGGCCACGGATAAGGATTCGGGGAACAACGGGAAGCTCTCTTACATACTGCTGTCAGATGGAAAGTTCTTCCGGGTCAATACTAAGACTGGTAATTTATCACACACAGTTACAAACATTTTAATAATATATCGTTTTTTTGTTGTTGTTTTTTTTGTTGTTTTTTATTCATAGTGCAGTAGTCACTTAGTCGATAAACCAGTAAATGCTGTCTTGGTTGACATGTCCTGATGATTGATTAGTTGACCAAAAAGGAGGTGTGACACAACTAATCTAAACTATCGTGTATCACTATGTATCTGACAGCTGCACAGGAGAACATGCAAAAACAATTTATGCAGAAAAAAGTACTATAAAACAATATATCTATATAAAGACTTAAGCTAAACTTAAACTTGTGAATCATGAGCTTAATCTGCTTTACATATGTATAAATATCAAAAAAAAAAAATCTTTCTAGTGTTGCCTCCTAATAATCTAAATGATTAGTCAACTAACAAAAATTTTAGTTGACTATATTAATTGATCACAGGCTTACAGCTCTAGAATCCTGTTACACTACTCTACTCCCTGGTCTCATCTTTGCATCTTTGGCTGTTGTAGGAGAGCTGATCCACTGGGTGGCGCTGGACCGGGAGCAGCACTCTCAGCACACTGTGAGGGTGATGGTGACCGACCAGGGTCAACCTCGACTGAACAGCTCCTGCACTGTGCACATCTTGGTGTCCGACCTCAATGACAACAGCCCGCAGTTCACCCACCTGCCACACAGCAAGGATGGCACTGTGCAGGTCAGGAGGGCAACTGGAGGAAGTATAAATGAGTGCTAATGCAAGGAAAGAAGTTGTTTAAAGATAGATTAGGCATCACATTTTTTATGAGATTTTGAAATATTACTCAATATACTCAATTTATTATTTTGATCACTTTATGTATGCATATGAACACTACCATGCAAAAGTTTGGACACACCCTCTCATTTAATGTTTTTTCTTCATGCTTACTAAACACAGAACAATCCTGCAGTATACATTCCCACATGCATCCCTACTGCTTACAATATGCTCACTGCAATGTGTCTATTACACTTTATTTGTATTCAAATGAGACTAAAACTGGATTTGCTCTTCTGTTCTGAACCTGAATATGAAGTATATCTTAAATTTTGATATTACCATATTTCAATATGTTGACACGTCTGAGTATTTATAGTTCTGTGTCTCTCTTGTTTCTTGTTTGCAGATCTGGGCGGGTGTGCCTACTGGCTCTTTGGTCACCACGGTTTTTGCTAAAGACTTGGACGCTGGTGAAAATGGAACTGTCACATTTTCCATAGACACTGGTCAGTCATACACATTGACCATACCTTAATCACTTTTCACTTAAAGTCACACTATAATGTGTTTCTTCTTTTGTCAGTTCATGAAGATGCTCAGACTTTTCCTCACTTTGATATGGACAGCAGGAGTGGAGATATCAGGACCACACAGTTCTTCAGCCACAGCCCACAGACACACTACACACTGAGGGTCACAGCCAGAGACAGTGGGGCTGTTCCCATGGAGGAGAGTGCACTCATTCATGTACAGGTACTGAAGTAAGATAACCCAAACTGTATTTGTACAGTATAAAGTTTAGGTTGTGTAGTTTGCAATGTGCCCTGTATTGGGTGTCCATTACAAAGAGATGAGCCAGCTGGAGGTTTGGGCACATAAAAATGTGTTGCCTGATTGCATTTTTTTTTTTTTCAATTGTGGTTGGTGCCACCTTCTGGCCATTCTAGATATTTAAATTAACACTTCCATCGGTCGCATTGTTAATTACCTCCGCCAAGGAGGTTATGTTTTTGCCGGCGTTTGTCTGTTTGTTTGTTTGTTTGTTTGTTTGTTTGTTTGTCTGTTAGCAACATAACTCAAAAAGGTATGGACCGATTTTGATTAAATTTTCAGGATTTGTTGGAAATGTGAAAAGGAAGAACTGATTTCATTTTAGGGGTGATCCGGAAGAAATCCTGGATTCTGGATCACTTTGAAATTTTAGTTAACATTGTGGTAAATGGGGCCAAAAATTTTGTTTCTCAATATCTCGGTTAATTATTGACCAAACCCCAAGAAATTTGAGTCAGGGATGGACAATGGGATCCTCTTTCATATTCCAAAAACTGATCCGGATCTGATCCAGAAGACTGATTTTATCACAATTTATATAAAAAATGGGGGTAGTCCTTGGCGGAGGTCTGCGCTCTCTGAGTGCTTTTCTAGTTTGAAATGATTTCAAGTGCCCCCTGCAAAGTGCTCTTTCCACTGGGACCATTTCTATATTATATGACCTATAATATTATGCACTTTTTTTTTTTTTGCATAATTATTATTGGATAAACTAAAGCTGTTTTGTTTTTAGTATTGTTTTTATGTTGATACTAAAAAAAACATAAAATCAAGTGCATGCATGTCCACAAACCTGACTCTTATTTCACCTGGAGGAGGGCACAGTATGGACATTTTCTATCTCCATGGACTTTGGTCCATTGGTTTTAACTTTCTGTTTCCATGGAATCATGCAGGTGGTGTGCCACCTCCAGAAAGTTACATTCTGTACCTTTAAATGTCAATCTTCAAATTTTCTATTGTAAAATTTATAAAGAAAATTAAAATGTAATAAACCTGACGACCTCATTCCTTGCAGGTTCATGGAGTAGACCCACACTCCCTCCGCTCGTCTCCCAGGATCCTCAGACGCTTCACAGTGAGAGAGGATGCAGCAGTGGGGACAGTGGTGGGCTCAGCTGGCCTGTCCGACAAGGGCCCATTCAACTACATCATTTCAGAGGAACATGGAAACCTCCCCTTTGGCATCCATGCTTCATCTGGAGACATTTACATCAGCCAACCTCTGGACTACGAATCCACCATGCAGTACTCTTTATCTGTCCACACTGAAGACACGGACCAGGGACTGAATAGATCAATACTTGTATGCATTATCGTAGAAGACGTCAACGACCACGCGCCAGTCTTTCCCGATAAATTCATCACTTTTGGCCTCCGAGAAGATGCAAAAGTTGGCTCTCTTGCTTACGCCTTTCAAGCCAGAGATGGAGACGGGACACTACCAAACAGTGATCTGAAATACTCCCTGAAATATGACAAATCTCATTCAATGCGCTTTCCATTCCGCATTGACCCAAGTTCGGGACGATTGACGGTAGCTGTGCCTCTAGATCGTGAAACTATTGCAAGTTTTGCTTTCACAGTGATAGTCACGGACCAAGCAGAGAGGAGGGAGGAAAGGAGAAGTGGGGCAGTGACAGTGCAGTTGTTTCTATTGGATGTGAATGATAATAGGCCGGTGTTTGTCTCCATGGAAACGGTACAGGTGATGGAGGATGCGGCCGTGGGGAGTCTTCTGCATCACCTGGTGGCCATAGATGGAGACGAGGGGGAGAACGGCCTGGTGTCATACTACATTATCGCGGGGGATAAAGGGACGTTTACTCTGGAAGAGAAGACAGGTAAAAGAAATTGTGTTGTTTGAATTTTGAAATACGTGGATCTATAAACTTCTATTTGGTATTAATTATTGATACTTAATCATCTGCAAAAAACTTACTATTAATTTATGCAGATTTAGTGCTGTAGTCGGATATATAGGATATGTAACAGACATGAATATAAATTTAAACACTGAAGTATTATCTTTTTTTTAAATAATCAATGCATCATAGCTTCTATCTTCCATCTGAAAATGGGACATAAGCACAATCTGAAAAAAACAACTTATTGTCCTTGTGTTTATTAAGTGAGACATCTTCCATTTGCAGGCTTGTTGTTTCTCTCCTCCCCTCTGGACTATGAGACCCAGCGCGCACACCGTCTGACCATCAGGGCTGTGGACCAGGGCCATCCCGCCCTCTCCTCCACCCAGACCTTGAGTGTGGAGGTGGGGGATGTGAACGACCAGCCCCCCCTGTTCAGTCTCCCAGTGTACAACGCCAGTGTGGCAGAGAACAGAGACCCAGGAGAGGCTGTGGTACGTGTCACCGCCTCCGATGGGGACTCAGGTAAGGGGAAACCTGTTACACACATACATGACATATTGTGTGTTTAGCAATAACATAAATACCACAGTGTTAAAGTTATAGTATGTAATTTTTGGGGGTGGAAAGTCAGCTGTATGATTTCATGGAAATAAAAAGTTAAAAACATATTTAAGAACATTATCTATTCAAATAGATAATGTTTATGCAATACCATGCAAACCTTTCCATGGAAACAAACAGGTGGAGACCCTCCTCCAGGCCAAATACAGGTCTGTGGCAATGTAAGCCCTCTCACAGTAAAGGTGCATGTTTTTCCATGTTTTTCAGTGCATCCATAATGAAAAGACATTACTTTTTTTTTTTTTTCACAGATTTTACATACTGTGGCATTGAACTGTATTTTTACAGTTATTTTGAGAAACATAGCAATTTGATGGTAAAACAGTAAATAGTAAAGAAAAGACATAAAATACCTGATTATTTAATAAAGTATTCTTCTCAGAAGCAAAACGTATTAAAAATATATAATGAAATTAAATTAATTACTTATTACTATCCCAGCCTCGCAAGAGTAGTGTTAGTAGTTTATTTTGGCAATGCCCTCTTCATTTGTCTAGATGGCAGCACTAGCACATAAATCATGAAACTGACTGAACTGAAGACTTACAGTTAATTCCCTCTAAACAGAAGTGGATAGATTAACAGAAATTCTGATACATTATTATGTATAATTTAAAGTACATAATCTCTCTTTTTTAATTGTCACTCACAATATAATATCTGTACATGAGTATGCATATTATGGCTGGCTATCAAAAATGTACTAAAATAGACTTCTTATCACTACCAGTCAAAAGTTTGGACACACCTTCTCATTCAAAGTCTTATTTCTTATTGTTAAATACCTTTTACATTTTATATACATATTATGGATCACATCAAATTTATGATGCAAGATATAATTTATAAGAAATGGTAAACAGCTGTGCCTTGTCAGAGTCAAAAAATGCCAAGAGTGTAAAGCAGTGATCAAAGCAAAAGGCGGCTATTTAAAAACTCTAAAACAAGTTTTGAATTATTTTGAGTTTATTTTTTGTTTACTACATACCATGTGTGTCATTCATAGTTTTGGTGCCTTCAGTAAGAATCTACAATGTAAATAATCATGGAAATAAAGAAAAAACATAAATGAAAAAGTGTGTTCAGACTTTTGACTGGGAGTGTATATGTAGGTCAAAGATATTGTCATAATCAACACAATGTGTTGAGTTTAAAGGGAGAAGTTTTTCCACAATATCCATAAAACCCTACTGCACAATGTACTACCTACCCATCTACAGTCAGTCCTACTAAAGAAGACATATTATGCTATTTTTTGTCATATTATCACAGACTGTGTTAATAGAAAAATTACAGTATTTATTAACAGTTGCTAGTTTTCAAAAGGCTTTCTTTATGTGAGCTAAAATGAATATTGTTAAAATGCATTTTGTCATATTGCAAGAAGTTAGTGATAGAAATCATGATTCAGTAGCATTTTCCAATATCAGGGAGCAAATTTCTCTTTACAGTATTTTGATTTTTTTTTTTTTTTTTTTGTGCAAACTAGGTACATTTCTGGTGCAGCTTTCTGGTCAAAACATAAAAAAAACTGCCTCCATAAATAATACAATTTCAAGTACTATGTGACATCACACAGGACTGCCCTGATTAAAGCCAGGTGTTTCTGATGACAAACACCTGGCTCTAGGGGTGGCGTTTAAAGTGAAGACAGACCAATCACCATGTTCTTATACCTTCAGCCCCCTCCCTCCTCCTCCTCCCTCACTCTCTTCTTGAGTCCTCCAGGCACTGCTCAGTTTAGCAGCTCTATTTGAAATGTCTCCCACTGGTCTGATCTCTGGTGTTTACATTCTGCACACCTTCTCGTGTATTTAGTTTCACCCCATTAGCCCTTTAATTGAAACCACTCTCGCCTTTCCACTTCACTCACCTGCGCTGCCTTTACTGACACTGCGTACATCTCAGTGCCTCATTTTATCTGGCTTCTAATCAGAAGTGCAAATCTGGCATTATCCCTGTTTATTTGAACCCCTTGTGCTGCAGAGCCCCTAAAATCCTGTTTGGGGCCCGCAGTGTTGACAGTGCAGACTTTTAAAGATGGCTGCCACCCTTTTCTCGATGGGAACTAAACATTCTTAGGGGGTGAGAATTGTCCAAGAATAGCAATCTCACAAGTCCTATGGGAACCTAGAGAAAACGATCTTGTCTCGCGATCATTTCTATAAATCAAGCCATGTGTGTGCCAAACTGCCAGTAGAGTTTTCATGTGCTTCCTAGATTGGAGTTTTGAAATGTAGGGCAGCAAGATTAATCGCAATTTGATGCAATTTTTTAAGTACTAATTTCCTCCACAAATGACTAAAAAGCCAGTCTATAGGTCTGAAATGAGTATAGTTTCAATACTAGTTTTAGTATCAATTTGTATCTAATTTTCAATACTTTCAACAACCCTACTTTGCACACACCCCCACCACTCTTATTTGATTATGTTCTCCACAATTCATTCCTAAGTTACTCAGTGTTTGTGCTCCCAGTCTCCGTGTGTAGAAGTTGGTCAGGGAGATGGAGAATATCAAAGTGTGTGACAGGCCTGGTGTTAATGCTGGGTTAACAGATGCTCTGAGGACCGTGGGTGAATGAGCTGTTTGTTTACAGGCCTCCAGGGCTCAAGTCCAGCTCCATATGTTTCATTTATAATCCCAGATACTGTTACATGGAACGTGACATGTCCTCTTACTTCATAACTAGGTCAGGAGTGTTAGTGTTACCTTTAACTTTAGTTTTTCTTACATATTAGGTCCTATATTATGCAAAACTGACTCCTGTGAGCTTTTAGCCATGACTTGTGTTTTGTTTCATTCACATATGTTTCAGACATCCTAGATTATTAGGCTGTATGCATTTCCAAAACTCAGAATGCTCTTTTCCACCTTGTGATGACGTTTATTGGTAGTTTTAAGGTTAACAGCTATTTTTAGCTTTTAGCTTGCACAATGTCTCAAAAAAAGAAGAGATTTAAGCAAAAAAGTTCAAACCGTTGTAGACTTATACAAATCAAAAGTGAGACACTGCTAGAGCCTTTACTTTCAAACTTGATACTACACAATAAAAATCTGTCCAGTAGAGGAGATGGAATAAACCCAAACAAGGTGCTAATTGTCTTAAGCACTAACCGTTTGAACTGAGATCGGTGTATAGTTTGATAGCAGAGGTTGTGAAATGGGAAATCCCCAGTGATTGTGGAGGCAGACTGTTGGCAGCAGAAGGCTCGGATAAAGAGGTAGTCATGCACTCTGAGTCGCCGTCCTGTTTTTAATTTGGCAAACTGATAACTGAAGCAACATGGACGCGCTTGAACACAATAGAAAGTGTTATTCAGGGTCTCTGTCATTTTCTTTCCAACGTATGTATTGTATCATTATTTAAACTTTCAAAGTAGTTCCTTATTTGATCCATTGTTGTGCCATTTCCATCTGTCAACGGGTCTTTGCCTTCTCTTCTTCTATGAGTAAACCTGGATGAGATTTGTCGTAATATATCTATGTGTTAACAGTGAACACAATTTAAAGCAGACTTACCCAACTTTTCTCTTTCTATTTGAGCACATTTTTGTTTTTCTGCCTAAAATGTATTGTAAAAGCATGACTTTGTGACAAAAATCTGACCACCTCATCTAATGTAATCTGATCTAATTAGAAAACATTTATAAAACATCATAAAGTTGTATGAAAGAGCTATTTGAGTCAAAGCTGCTCTAAAGTTGTGCTAGTGGCCAAAAAGTGCATGCATCTGAATGTGCCAAAGGGTATGTAAGTGCTAGGAACAAGTTAGACTAATGCCTACTTTATCCTTTCACGGTTTGAAAATCAGATATCTCATTTGGTATCTTCAATTATCTCATATGAAAAATTAAATCTGGATCTTGTTGATTATGTAATTTGAAGGTTTGTGTGATGTTTGCAGAGGAAAATGCTGCAGTGTGGTACAGTCTACTTCCTGGACCGGGCTATGAGCTGTTTAGCATTAACCCATACACCGGTCTGATCACCACCACCTCCTACCTGGACCGAGAGGAGCAGCGTCACTACACACTCAGAGGTACAAGGACTTAAACTACATTACCAGTCAAAAGTTTGGACACACTTTTCCATTTTTGTTTTGTTTTGTGTTTGTTTTATTTAATTACTGTTGACATTGTAGATTGAAAACCTCAAAAACTATGAATGGACACAGAAGGAGCATGTAGTAAACAAAAAAAAAAATCTAAATTACTCCAAACTTGATTTAGATTTTAGTAGTTTTTTTTTTGTTTGTTTGTTTGTTTTTTTAATTGCTACTATTTGCTACCACTCTTGGCATTTCTTGACCCTGACAAGGCAGAGCTGTGAAGTGAAAACCATTTCAGGAGACTTCATCATGAATCTCATTGAAAGAAGACTGAATGAGAAGGTGTGACCAAACTTTAGACTGGTTGGGTTTACGTGTGCCTTGTGTATGTCCTCCTCAGTTCAGGCCCGTGACAGCAGCTCGCGGCCCCTTTCCAGCACCTCCACTGTGCTCTGCTCTGTGCTGGACGACAATGATAACCCTCCCGAGTTCATGCAGTCGTCCTTTCAGATCAGCCTGCCCGAGAATCTGCGTCCTGGGATCATTCACACGGTTCAGGCAGCAGACCCGGACCATGGGGAGAACGGCACTATCCACTATTCCATACAAGGCAAGGGCATGTGCCAAGTGTAATATTGTGAAAATAATGTGCTAGAAGAGGGTTCATGTGGACTCTGGTCTTAAAGAACAAATATTATGCATTATTTATATTGTCGTTGGCCTTTAAACGTGGTTTTGAGTAACTTTGCTTTCAATTGCAACATTTACAACTTAAAATAAAATGCCTAATTAAAAATACAGACATTACACAGCCTCAATACTCAACATACTGCAGCTTGCCATCTACTGGTAGCAGAGAGAATTACCACAATGAAAACAAACTAAAGAGTAATGTTGGTTTAAGCACGCAGCAGTAATGAGCTGATATGATGTAAGAAATGCTTACAATGAGTCTGGTGATGATTTATGGACTTAAAACTGTGCAGGGCTTCTAGTATGATGTCACAGTCACAGGTGTTTGGTGATGCTTAGAGCCAAAGGACTTTTTAGAGAAACCAGAGTGAATGACATGAAATACAATTCCATTCAGTGAGGGATCAATATTCTAACATGGTTAAAAGTTCAAAAAATAAAATTTAGCATAATCTATGTTCTTTAAACAAGCCAAATTCTGATGGACTAGGTGAAGGCATTTGGAAAAAGGTGCTCACAGGTGTGGGGTGCTCATAGTGTGTAGTGGTAAAAATTATGCAAGAAAGTAACAGTGATACACATTAGTTAAAAAAAAAACATTTTCCAATCCAGCTCACCAATCACTGCCACGGTGGTGGGGGTACTGCAATGCCAAATACACCAACCACGTCAGCGCCTAAGCATTTGTCCACAGGCACCTCCAAATAATATCTCACTAATAATGTTTTCCATTTTGGAAAAAGTCAACTCTATCATCTGTCTCTACTAGCAGCAAAGAAAACGAACTGGTACATGTCACATTTATTAGTCCAGTTAGAACTGTGTCTAACCTGGGCAAGCAGTACCAGATAACTCTGGAGGGTTGGAAAAAAATAATAATAAAGAATTTTGAAGAGGGAGTGCTTTACAAAATAAATTTTTGGTGTTTTCTAACATGTTAGAACTTTGTTCACTCATCAAAAACATACCAGAAGAGGTTTTGTATTTCCTCCATGCATGTTTGAGTAATTTTGTGATTTTTACTGTTCAAAACTCAGCCCACAAGTCTATGTCACCCATGCTCCCACAAGGCATTTTTACATAAAATGCAAAAGCATTACAGTACAGCTTCAAAAAACCTGATGCAGTAGTTTCATTAGCGAGATGCACACCAATTGTATTGTGTAAGTAATAAATAATAAAAGGTAACATGCTTAAATATGTTATGTGTTGGCAGTTAATATCCATTAGAAGTGTATTGCTCTTTTTATGAAATAAAGTACAAGTCATTAACAAATCTAGCTTACTTCATATACCTTTGCTCTCTGTTCATATGTAGGTGAGGACCACAGAGGACGCTTCACCATCAACAGTATCACAGGAGCCATTAGCACCACACAAGTTCTGGACCGAGAAGAAACCGCAAACTACACTCTCACCATTCAGGCCCAAGACCACGGACCCCACCCCCTCAGCTCCTCCACTCAGATCTACATTCTGCTACTGGACCAGAACGACAATACACCCACTTTTCCATTTAAAACTTACCAGGCTTCCATCAGCGAAGGGTCACCAGTGGGATCCAAGGTCGTCCAACTTACTGCTTTTGACCCAGATGAAGGCCCCAATGGTGAAATCACGTATTCTTTGATGGAGGATAACAGTCAAGGAGCGTTTTCCATAGATCCTTTTACAGGAATCATCCGCACTTCCAGACCGCTAGACCGAGAAAGCAGGAGTCAGTATAACATCCATGTGGTAGCTAGTGACGGTTGCACCCAAGGCCCACTCAGATCGGCAGTTTCACTCACCATACAAGTTGAAGACGTAAACGACAACACCCCCCTCTGCACCCACAACCCCATTAACGCCTGGGTCTCCATGACGATGCCACCCAATCACATCATAACCACAGTGATAGCTACAGACAAGGACCAAGGAGAGAATGGGACGGTTAGATTTATGATATCCAATGAGGAGAATTTATTTGATATCAATGGAGATACGGGGGAGGTGTCACTTAGGAGGAGAATAGGGGTGGGGTTTTCGGGAGCAAAGCTTCACGTGGTGGTGTCCGATATGGGGAGGCCACCTCTCACCTCCACCTGCCTCATTTTCATTCACTTATCGGGGGAACAGGAGTGGCTGCAGTTCACAGAGAAAGTGTACAACGCAACGGTGAAGGAGAACAGCAGGGCAGGTACCATACATACAATATTAAATTGTGGGTATGTTTTTGTTAAAGGGCCTGTATTGCACTGTTTTTAATCTGTGTTATAATGTTTACATTACAAACATACATGGAGATGTGTTTTGTTTCCAGCATATTTATCGTGTAGTGTTTTCTCAAACCGGAAATGTATAGTAGCATCTGTTTATGTTCCAATTTTGCATAGACTATTATAAAGCGTGATCGTGTTCAGACATTACTTTCACTTTGTGCAGGGACCTGGATTACAAAAGTTGCAGCCAATGATCCAACCAACAGTCGACAGAGAATCACATACACCATATTCAGTGGCAACGAGAACAATGTTTTCTCCATCAATCGCCACACTGGTAAGCTACATTTCATCAATATTTATACAGTATACGAATTCACCAAAATCATTAACATCGCCTACATTTTGAACCATATTTTCTGGTGAAATTGCTGGGTTGCAAATGACATCAAAACATTATATAGGCCAATAATATTCAATATAGATGGAGGATGGCTAAAATGAATATTGTTAAAATGCAGATTTTTTTTTTGTAATGAGTTCTTGAGAGCAGTCCAAAATAGAAATGATCAGATTCATTTTTGTGAATTTACTGTTTTATTTTAGATATTTATGCCAAAGTACAATGTAATCAATAGGGAATTTGGTATTTTTTATCTATATTTTACCTCATGTTGTCTGTGTTCTTCCTGTTATGGACACCATTTTGAGGACATTTCAGAAGATGAATATTTTGTTTTAATCTGTTTATTCTATGGTAACAGTCTTTTTATGGCACTCCAACCTCATGGATAGTGACTACTCTAAAATGCTCTTCCCATATCCCAGGGGAGATTCGCGTACAGAAGGATAATTGTCTGGACTTTGAGCTGGGTCCCAGTGTGGAGCTGGTGGTGCTGGCTGACAGTGGACTGCAGAGTGCTCACAGCAGAGTGTCCATCACCCTGCAGGACGTCAATGACAACACACCCCTGTTTGAACACACCAGCTACAGGACGGCCGTGTGGGAGGGCCAGGTCCACGACACCTATGTTATGCAGGTACGGAAGACCTATTATCAAGTGGTGGTTTTCAGATTCTAGGATGTAATGATGTCATACTTCCGGGGGGCAAGAGCCAGTATTTCTTATTAATTACAATGAAATTTGCCATGAAATGTCAGAAAGGTAAATTCTCAAATATGAAATATGATCATTTCTATTATTAACTAGACCCAGCACCTTTCTATATTACAACACAAATCTGCAGCTGAACAACAATATTCATTTTACCTACCTCCCATCTGTATTAAACAATATTGGCCTATAGAATACTGTCCACCAATGAGATATAAATAAGGACCTAGAGGGACTGTCGCCATGATAACATATAGTAATACTTGTCCAGTTCCAGTAAACATGGGGGGTAGTGGAGTTTCTGCCACCTGCTTGCCTCAATGGAGATTTAATGGCTTTGCCTGGAATATTCCACAGTATCACACTATCTATCTTGCACTTATTCAATGATAAATTCATGGCTAAAGGCATTTTTACTGTCAACCTAGAAAAGTTACATAACGCACTATTTCTTTCAAGGTCAGGGAGTGACATTCAGAGCTTAGTACATATTTTTATACATGAACTGTTTATTTTTTATGCTTCTCTGCTGGTGGAGTAAAAAATGCCATTTCATCTCAGTCTTAACAATTTGAGTCCAATAATACAAATTCTAAAGTAAAACCAAGTTGTAGTTGTACTTTTTTTGCAGTGCAAACTACTATCTTAGACATCTTTGTATATTATTTGTATTATTATTATTTGTATACTATTGTCAGAGGTGCATAGTACTCAGTTACATTTATATGAGTAACTTTTTAAAGAAGACTTCATGTAACAAAACTTATTGATGAAAAAAAAACACAGTGGGGGTTACTGTCTGCATTATGAGTGAGTCTGGAAGTGACAAAAGCTTTGTTGATTTGAATTAGTGTTTCTTGCACCACTCTGTAACATATTATTTTGTTTTTCTCATTTAAATTTTACATTATAAATCAGATATTACATCTTGATAGTTGCTCTTAGTTGAGTAATTTTGTAATTTCTTAGACCAATACTTTGTACTTCTTCTTGGGTAAAATGATTTTGAACTAATGTTAGGCTTACTTAGTTGCTTTGTAACGTACCCACCTCAAATAATTATAATTTTCCTTGCAGGTATATGCCTCAGATGCGGACAGTGGGCTAAATGGGCAGATAGAATACTCCATCATATCTGGCAACCACAACAACGCCTTCATCCTGGACTCAGTGAGAGGAATTCTGGCCACTAATGTTGTGCTGGACCGAGAGATCACCAGTTCATACAAGTGAGTTCATGTGACACTGTTATGTAAGCACCGGATCAGCTTTGAAGTGGTGCTCTCAACCTTACTGGGCCTATTTATATCAATTAACTGTCAGTGGGAAGAAATAATAGTCCCAAAGTTCTACTACTAACTTTTGTACCACACTGTATCCAAATGTAAAAATACACTATGAATGGACACATAGAATGTAGTAAATAAAAAATAAACTAAAAAATTACTAGAAACAAAAAATGTTTTATAGCCACCCATCACTGCTTTGCACTCTTGGCATTTCTTGACCCTGACATTGCAGAATTGTGAAGTGAAAACCGTTTCAGGAGATTTCATCATAAAGCTCATTGGGAGAGCTAAATGTAGGATAAAAAGTAGGAAAGCTAAGCCAAATTACAAGACAAGGCTTGTGAATTGAGTCAAAACAGAATGGGCTCTGTGTGGGATGACCTTACCACCATTTTAGGATCGAAGAAGAAGAGAAATTCAAGGCTGACCCTCAAACTGGCTCATTTAAATTGAGATTTGAAATAATGGACTTTAGTAAGGACATTCTTAAATTGAAAAATGAACTACTTTCAGCAGTCATGTGTTTTAGTCAGATCAAGGCAAGGAAAAGTTCAGGACCACATAAAAACAACAACTTGCTCCATTGTTTTGCTTTATCTTCCAGATGTCAATTAACCAACAGAGGGTGCCAAACACTTGGAAACAATGAGTGTAGACCTGTGGCCTGACTTCATTAGTTATGAAATTATTTGAGAGACTAATGAAAAATGAACTTCTTCCTCTGGTAGAGCCCTTTCATGCCTGATGGTTCAAATCAATTGTTCCATTGGGGATACAAATAAAGTAAAGTTTAAGTTGAAGTGTTTGAAGAATCCCTCAGTCGTCCAGGTAGAATCCATGGCGAGGAGAAAATTCAGCTTTTCGACTGGACCAAAGTTAGTTAGAGTTTGCAGTGCTGCCAACATATCAAAGGATGGCTACTTCTGAGGAACTGATATAGAATGTAAATAATATTTTATATTTTATTTTATATTTTAAAAGCATTCTTTTGCTTGAGGCTGCATCCAAATGTCTGACTTGTAGACGGGGCGGACTGGAACCAAAAAACGTCTCTGGACTACCTGGACCGTACAGTATGCCAGTCCCCCCTGCTAGTAGATGTAGATACAAACAAGAGGAACCACGAGAGAGCGTCCAATCAAATGGAGCTCCTTTAAATAGTAAACTGTCTGAGTGAAAAAAAAGAAAAGAAAAAAAGAAAAGAGAAGAAATAAGTAATTTAAAGAGAATGATATAGTTGATTACAGTTTACAGATTATTACAGTTATTTTTACTTTATACATAACATTTGCAATAAATAATGTGTGTTATTCTGTTTCAGATTGGTTTTACAGGCAGCAGACAAAGGAAACCCATGCTTCAGCAGCACGGCCACTGTCAGGGTCCAAGTGGTGGACGTGAATGACAACAGTCCTGTCATACCACCCATGGAGCCTGTGCTCATACCTGAGAGTAAGGGAGATAACAAACAAAAAAAAAGCTAAAGTCTATATTATGCTCATTTAGTGATGTGGTAATACAGAAAAGGCACCATACACCTTCACTAGAAACATTTCTAATATTTGAATCCCTGTAACTGCCAAACTTTGAAGTTGCACCTATTGTGGCTACTCTCACAGGAGTTTTGCATATTAAAAAAAATATCATATCAGTGTTGTATTGTATTTATTAATTGATTAAATATTACAAATATAATTCTCATATATCACTTTAATCTTAGAGGTACTGATCTAAAACAATATTTCCTCTCTTCAGGTGGAGGTTATGCCACCATCTTATCTCCATATAGATGTTATTACTTTGCCTGGAATGCTGGAGCATACAGTTTAGTTTCAAGAAAAGTTGATGTAGTGCTTAGTTCCACTTTAAAGCATAGATCACAAAGACCCCTTATCTCTTTTCTTTAACTTCTTCACACCTAATATTATAATATATAATAATAATTGTCTCATTCTTACCAAACATTTTCTTCTACCAGATCTCCCGGCTGGCTACATGGTGACACAGGTGACTGCTAATGACGTGGACCTGAGCTCATCCATTACTTACAGTTTTGGATAACAGCAGCAGCAGTGGTCCCTTTGCCATTAACTGTTACACTGGAGTCATCACCATGACCCAAGCACTGGACTATGAGACACAGACAGAATACGTGCTAACTGTGAGGGCATCTGATTCCCTCCACCACACCACAGGAGAGGTCAAAGTTCAGGTGCTTGACGTCAATGACAACGCTCCTGTCTTCACCCAAGTTTCATACCAGGTACTCATCACATAGTAGGAGTCCAAGGTATTTAGGCAATGGAAAAATATTCTCTTCTGTATATTGTTTATGAAATTTAGATGTTATAACTACAATACTAAAGTTCGATCAATATTCAAACTATGATTAAGAGCATTGTCTTAAAGAAGACTTGTGTCTGAAATATAGTTATAATCTATGTCAGTCATGGCTCATTATGTAATAATCTGGAAATTTTAAATTGCAATATTGATGAGAAACGACTTAATAAAAGAAACAAGTCTGATAGCTTCCATGTCAGAAACTTGCAGTGCCCAATGAGAGCTGATGTCGCCATAAACGTTTCCACAACAAAGAGACAATCACCCCTAATGGATAGCTGCAGATCACACGAGCCAGTAGCAGATTTTTTTTCATCCATACCAAAATGACCACGCAACACTGCTGAATTTTACACATATTACCCATTAAGAAATAAAATTCTTTTTTTCAGGTGGAGTTGTCTGAGTTTGTTCCTGCAGAAACATTTGTCTTGTCTGTGTCTGCGTCCGACAAAGATTCAGGACCCAGAGGAGAGGTCATCTACAGACTGCTGTCATCTCCTCTACAAGGTTTCTACATCCTCCCAGATTTGGGTAAGGCCATGACAAATGAAGACAGTGCGCTGTGATCATAGTGGCAAACATCAAGAGAAACTTTGAAATATTTATACAGTGGACTTTAGTTCTTGCTTTTTTTAACTTCGTCATCTGGCTTTCATTAAAACTGAATCATATTATGTATCATAGCCCGTAAAAGATTTGATGAAGTTGAGCAAGTAGATGACTTGACCAATCATTGCCCGAAATTTTATATTATGACACAGCACTTGGCACTTCAGTCTGCCCCACACTTTGTTCAGCTATGATGCAGGCAGTGCTGTAATGCATAGTGACATTTTCAGCATTGCAAACGTCATGGCTGTTAATAATAAACATAACTTCTTCACATGGAACTTCTCCTTTTCTCATTTTCTTTGATTTATCTATGTTCTTAAGTATTGTCTTTCAGCCGACTAGTCCAACTTGAAATTCATAGATTCAACAGAAAGAAATGTGATATATTAAAAGAGACACATAGATGGTTGCTTAGGGTTTTGTGTATATCAAAATTTTTTTTGTTGTGAAATCATTGCCATACTTGCTGCAGGAAGTGGACTTATTGTGATTCTTAATACGTTTACTTTTGTCTTTCTTGCATACAGATTATTCAACGCTGAAGTGAAGTTGCTGTCACTTTATTTATTCTTTATTTCAGACACAAATATTATTCGGTCCATAGTTAAAAAGAAAAACAGGATGCAATATATATATATATATATATATATATATATATATATATATATATATATATATATACTATAAATGAGTTCAAATAAAAACAGTAATTTATACAGAAAGCACAAGGCAAAAATGTATTTGTGTATGTGAAAGGTAGATTAAAGTCAGGATTCACTCCATCATCTTCAAATAACTCCCTCTATACCTTCTCCTTTCTGTTGTTGCCCAGTATAAATTCTTATACTCTATTTGCCACATAGCACTAGACTATTTCAAGTTGTATTCACACATTTTCTTTTTTTACAGGGTCAATTTTCACCAACAAACCCCTAAAATCCATCACCAACAGCAATGTGGTGCACCTCTTGGTTGAAGCACAAGACCAAAGTGACCCAATACGCTCTAGTGTGGCCTCCATCGAAGTTCAGATCGTGGATAGCAATGATCATGCACCAATGTTCCACCAAGACATTTACACTCTGACCGTCCCAGAAGACACACCCACCGACACCACCTTACTCACCCTCTCTGCCGATGACGAAGACTGGAGTCCAGAGAATACCCACCTGGACTACGCTATCATCGGGGGCAACGAGGAAAAGCGATTCTGTCTTGAAGTCAAATTGATTCAAGTTGAGAATCAGTTGCGAAACGTTGCCAAGCTAGTTCTCTGTAACCCTTTGGATCGGGAAACTACAGAAGCGTACTCTTTAACTGTTAGCGTTTCCGATCGGGGAAGACCACCCCTGAACAGTACTTCTTTTGTTATGGTGTCTGTAACTGACTGCAATGACAACGCTCCAAAGTTTTCCAGCACAGAATATCACGTCCAAGTGAGTGAAAACAGCCTCACTGGAACTAGCCTGGTCAAAGTACACGCCCATGATCCTGACTTCGGAGCCAACGGTCTTGTGAGATACACTATTGTTTCCGGTAATAGCAAACAACACCTTACAATTGACTCCCAATCTGGCGTTTTAGCTATTAACCAATCACTCGACTATGAGGAAGATTCAAAGTATACCGTGACTATTCGAGCTTCTGATGGCAGCGAAACATCGGATGAACGCAATGTCGCTTTCGCTGTGATCTATGTTACTGTACTGGACGAAAATGACAACGATCCTTACTTCATGTTCCCAACTGTAAATTGTTCTGTGCTTGAGAATCTACCGGCGTTTACCCACACTTGCTCCGTCAACGCAATGGACAACGACTCTGGCCCCTACGGTCAACTGACATATTCCATCTTGACATCCTGCTTCATGGATTACAGTATTGTAAACCCAGATTATAAAGAAGCATTCGGCATTGACAGCTATACCGGAGACATTCACACCAGGCAAACCTTTGACTATGAACGTGAAAATGAGTATTGCTTTATAGTCGAAGCTAGAGATAAAGGTGACAAGGCAGCCACCATAAGAGTTCAAGTAGCTATCAAAGGAGTTGACGAATTTAGCCCGATCTTCATGCAAAAACAGTACTATTTTCTTCTCAGGGAAAACGTCAAACCTGGAGAGACCATTGGCTTTGTGATGGCGATGGATCATGACAGAGGGATTGATGGACAAGTGGAATATGCGTTTCTCCACCCATCACAATTTTTCTTGATAAACAAAACAACTGGTGCAATTTTGGTGAATGATCCAGTATTTCGTAAAAGAGGTAGTTATGGAAATGACGATATGGTGGAGTTAACTGTGTCTGCAAGCAGTCCCAAGCTTGGTTCTCGGACTACGACATGTCCAGTTTACGTCAATATTTCCAATTCCATAGAAGCGCTAACTGGAGTACCGCTCAATGGGCACGTTCTCAGTCTGGGCATTTCGTTACTGTTGGTCCTTCTCATTTTAGTAATCTTCGTAGGGTTAGTTCTGTCATATAAACTAAAAGATACAGCAGTCAAGAAGGCATCTGCCATTGCTTCAAGTTTGAATCAAAGCCCAGGATCATTCTACAGCTCCAGTGAACAATCTCAAAGCATTATCTGCCTGCATGAAGTCAAACATCCCAGTATTCAAGTGGTAAGGAAGGACCTCCCCAAACAGTACAGCCCTTCAGACTCTAGTGGGCGTGGGTCAGCTGAAGGTGAGACCGCTGAGGACCAGGAGATTAAGTGGATCAACAATTTATCTTTTTCTAAAGGAGAGGCAACACACGAAACTTCAGAAAACCATGATTCTGCATTACCTGGAGACAATATTTCAAATAATTCTGTCAAACCTGTCCCAGAACACTTGCTAACTTCATGTCCAATTTCTGGGTTTGCTAGCACTGAAAGTTTACATCATTTTAAAGAGGAGGGCGGAGGCGAAGGTCTGCTCCCAGCGATCGTCCAGTTTGCCGATCTGGAGGAGAGCATGGGGACACGAGGTTATGCTCCCCTTTCGGAAGCTGTGGATTCTTTGTCATCTCTGGTTGGTTTAGAAGAGCAAGTGCAGGGTAGCTACGCTTGGGACTACCTTCTTGACTGGGAGCCTCAATACCACATGCTAGCTTCAGTGTTCACAGATATTGGAATGCTCCCTGATGAGGAGCTCCAAGGTGGCTGTGAGAGTTTGGCCTCTGAGGCGAGCTGTCTCATGCACCCTCCCCCTCTAATCACTGCAGTAGCTCAGCCCGGTTTAAGGACAGTACCTCCCAGGAAACCAAGCCGTGCACACAGTCTTAGTAGGAAGCCATCTTACCCTAGATACTGCTACTCCCCCTTAGCAAGAAACACTGGACTAACCCCCACGGCAATGACCCCTACCTTTTCCCCGTCCCTGACCTCACTGAGTGTCCGGACACCCAGCGCTTCACCTGTGGTTTCGGACACTGGGGTGGGGGGCATCAGGCTAGAAGCAGGTCCTCCCACTGCAAGCCTGTTGGAGACTGAAATACAAGTGTAGATATGGACAGATTACATTTTATTACGGAAGATTATTGGTAAATGTGTTATATATGAGTAATTTTTAAATAAATGTGGTCATGTTGGATTCAGTGGAACTATTCAGCTACTGACTTTAAAGGGGACTGTCAAATCTGGAGCTGTTTGGAGCTTTTAACTTTGTCATAATGTTGTTCCTTCATCCTTAGCTTTCTCAAAGTTACATTTCACTGCATGTTTGAGTAATCATTTATCCTGTATTTGAGACTTGGGGGCTCTGAAAATGTCTGTTTTCACCCACCCCCTATGCTTGCCCACTTTTCTGTATTTATTCATGATTATTCCAAACTTAGACTCCAGGCAGGTCACCTAGAGTTTTTCCAACCATAACATAATTTTGAATAGGAAGTTAATGAACCTGTTTCTGTTCGCAAGCAGTTATAACAGAATAATGCTTTTTACAATGAACAGTTTAGTTTTATACTAAATGCCAGAGGAGGAAACTAGAGGATATTAAATTTAAATTAATGCATGTTTTTATTTGTCAGTACAATAGAAAATAATATTAAAATGTGAAATAACTGGTCGCAGCTTTAACTGCAGTAAAATACCAACATAAATTTGTTCAAGCGTTTCTTATATTCTATGCTAACTTACTCAGGATGCTTTGGTTTAATATTATTTCTTGATATAAAACAAATGGGCTTATAACTTCTTCTCTGGTCTTATAAATCCATATTTTAGTGATACTGCATGTAACAGAATTGGATTCATATCATTTCAAAGTGATCAATCAGTCAATGCGGTTTTATATTTTTATAATGAGCCACTTTAAAGAAAAGCAGACATTAAATATGTTCTGAAATATTTATTGAGTACTTTTGTTTATGTGAGCAGAAAATGAAACACTTGGCTTTGGGTGGAGCTTTTGACCACAATGGCTGTTACTAAACCACGGATCTGTATTAGTTTCATATCTTAGGTTTCAAATATGACTTTGATATTCTTCAAAAATGTCTTGACAAGTTTTTAGTGCAATCGTTATTTTCATGTGTCATTTAATACAGTGTGTTCAGAAAGAAAAAATGTGTGTAATTTCCATAAAACACATGAACACAAAATGGTACTGTGTAAACCAGTTTTTCATAATTTATTCTTTTCTTTCTTTTTTGTAATAACACTTGAACTACGTTGAAAAGGAAAGGATTGCTCTATGCAAAAGTGTGTTTTATAATGTTAATGTAATTAAAATATATTTAATATACTTTACCTATGACAGGGTGAATATTTCTTTGTGATTTTTTGTTGACCTTAACATTTTTCTACCACTCTGATGCAAGTATATGGAGTTTATTATTCAATATCATTTGAATTAAAGTGAGCTTATTATGCAAAATTAACTCTAAAGCTTTTAACCATGTAGATCTTTGCCCGTCTCATTTACTCTCTCAAAGTTGTATTTAGCATGATTCATGCATGTTTGAGTAATCTTTATGCTCCAATATTCAAGACTTCATCCCTCCGATCAACCTGGTTTTCACCGCCCCGTTACACTTTTATACTCTGTACTTCGTTTTCTTTATAGGTGATACGCATAAGATTAAGCAGTGTCGCATAGTCATCTTGATACAAATGAAAAACAATCTATCCATATGAGGTGCCAACAACTGCTTTGTAGTGATGATGTTTACGGCAACGTCAGCTCCCAATGGCAATGGATCTGTTTTTTGTTTTAAATGAATATTGTGATTTACACAAGCACACATTTTTGCCAGTTTTATGCCTTGACTTTCTCTTTGTTTGCTGGTCCAAATGCATTGCCCTGGAAAAATGAAGAGCTCTTGTCTCCATCAGATCCTTCACCAAACCTAATAAACATGGTGTCCTGATTCACATGTGTCGTACGAGGCCAGCCAACATCGCAGAGAAATTATTTATTGATTTAGTTCTGCCACTTTTTTGCACCTCTTGTGTTTTTGACAAGTCTTGTTTGTGGTTTTTGCTGGACTCACTTTATGTAGATGGAACAGATCTCACCGTATCTGGTGATCTGCCTAAGAGCACCAGGATCATTCCACAAAAATAGACAAAAATCTGCTAAGTACCTTTTGCTTGAAGGCTTGCCATTTGGTTAAGTGATGGAAACTGATAAAACAAGCTGATGTTATTAATAAAGCAGCTTTGAACTCTCAAGAGGTAGACTGAATTAAAACAAGACTCCAGNTAAATAAACTTATGACAAAATGAATCATTAATGAATGATTCTTTTGTTTCCACAGAACTAATGCCTTTTCCTGAAACCACCTCAGGTCCACCTTAAACAGTCCACCTTAAACAGCCAGTCCACCTTAAATAGTCCACCTTAAACAGCGGCAGTTTGTATCTCCAGGGTCGTGGTCCTCACTGGAGACGTGATGTTCCTCAGAGAAACGTTTTTCATTTTCCCCATAAACAGTTTAAAGATCAGAACCCCACACAGAAGAAGCACACAGAAGCTCCTGAAGAACCACACAAGAAGCACACAGAAGCTCCTGAAGAACCACAGAAGAAACACACAGAAGCTCCTGAAGAACCACAGAAGAAACATCACAGAAGCTCCTGAAGAACCACAGAAGAAACACAGAAGTCACAGAAGCTCCTGAGGTCCTTTCATCAGATTCCAAATGTAAAAGTTCAAATTTGGTTTGATGTTTTCACAACAGCAGAAGTTCCAGAAAAAGATCTAAAAGATCCTGATTCCTCAGAGCAGAACGAGAACGAGCCTCAAACTGACGTGAGGAAAATGGTTTAAATCTGAAAAATCTCAGAGTCAAAGAGAAAATCTCCAAGTGGACCTCCTCCAACTCCTCCAACTCCTCCAACTCCTCCAACTCCAACTCCAACTCCTCCAACTCTCCAACTCCAACTCCTCCAACTTCTCCAACTCCAACTCCTCCAACTTCTCCAACTCCAACTCCTCCAACTTCTCCAACTCTCCAACTCTCCAACTCCTCCAACTCCTCCAACTCCAACTCCTCCAACTCCAACTCCAACTCCAACTCCTCCAACTCTCCAACTCCAACTCCAACTCCTCCAACTCTCCAACTTCTCCAACTCCAACTCCTCCAACTCTCCAACTCCAACTTCTCCAACTCCTCCAACTCCAACTCCTCCAACTCCTCCAACTCCTCCAACTCCAACTCCTCCAACTTCTCCAACTCCTCCAACTTCTCCAACTCTCCAACTCCAACTCCTCCAACTTCTCCAACTTCTCCAACTCCAACTCCTCCAACTTCTCCAACTTCTCCAACTCCAACTCCTCCAACTTCTCCAACTCCTCCAACTTCTCCAACTCCAACTCCTCCAACTCCTCCAACTCCAACTTCTCCAACTCCTCCAACTTCTCCAACTCCAACTCCTCCAACTCCTCCAACTCCAACTTCTCCAACTCCTCCAACTCCTCCAACTCCTCCAACTCCTCCAACTCCTCCAACTCCTCCAACTCCAACTCCTCCAACTCCTCCAACTCCTCCAACTCCTCCAACTCCTCCAACTCCAACTCCTCCAACTCCTCCAACTCCTCCAACTCCTCCAACTCCTCCAACTCCTCCAACTCCTCCAACTCCAACTCCTCCAACTCTCCAACTCCAACTCCTCCAACTCTCCAACTCCAACTCCTCCAACTCCTCAACTCCTCCAACTCCTCAACTCCTCCAACTCCAACTCCTCCAACTCCTCCAACTCCAACTCCTCCAACTTCTCCAACTCCTCCAACTCCTCCAACTTCTCCAACTCCAACTCCTCCAACTCCAACTCCTCCAACTCCTCCAACTCCTCCAACTCCAACTCCAACTCCTCCAACTCCTCCAACTCCTCCAACTTCTCCAACTCCTCCAACTCCTCCAACTCCTTCAACTCCTCCAACTCCAACTCCTCCAACTTCTCCAACTCCTCCAACTCCAACTCCTCCAACTCCTTCCAACTCCTCCAACTCCTCCAACTCCAACTCCTCCAACTCCAACTCCTCCAACTCCAACTCCACCTCCAACTCCAACTCCTCCAACTCCTCCAACTCCTCCAACTCCTCCAACTTCCAACTCCTCCAACTCCTCCAACTCCTCCAACTCCAACTTCCAACTCCAACTCCAACTCCAACTCCAACTCCTCCAACTCCAACTCCTCCAACTCCTCCAACTTCCTCCAACTTCTCCAACTCCTCCAACTCCTCCAACTCCTCCAACTCCTCCAACTCCTCCAACTCCTCCAACTCCAACTTCTCCAACTCCAACTCCTCCAACTCCTCCAACTCCAACTCCTCCAACTCCTCCAACTTCTCCAACTCCTCCAACTCCCAACTCCAACTCCTCCAACTCCTCCAACTCCTCCAACTCCTCCAACTCCTCCAACTCCTCCAACTCCTCCAACTCCTCCAACTCCTCCAACTCCAACTCCAACTCCTCCAACTCCTCCTCCAACTCCAACTCCAACTCCAACTCCTCCAACTCCTCCAACTCCTCCAACTCCTCCAACTCCAACTCCTCCAACTCCAACTCCTCCAACTCCAACTCCTCCAACTCCTCCAACTCCTCCAACTCCAACTCCAACTCCTCCAACTCCAACTCCTCCAACTCCTCCAACTCCTCCAACTCCAACTCCTCCAACTCCTCCAACTCCTCCAACTCCTCCTCCAACTCCTCCAACTCCAACTCCTCCAACTCCTCCAACTCCTCCAACTCCAACTCCAACTCCTCCAACTCCTCCAACTTCTCCAACTCCAACTCCTCCAACTCCTCCAACTCCAACTCTTCTTCTTCTTCTTCTTCTTCTTCTCGTCTCTGGACTTTCTGTGTTTCAGTGTTGACAAAGTGAATGTATTTGACCTTCTCAGAATTTTTGTGTTTGATGTAGTGAAAAAAATTGTTTGTGAATGTTTGGGGTCAAGGGTCAGATTGGGGTAACGGTCAGGGTCAGGTTAGGGTCAGGGGTCAGGTTGGGGTCAGATTTGGGGTCAGGTTTGGGGTAAACATATTTGTGATGTGTGATTTTGGGAGTTGGTGATTTTCTTGAGCACAAAAGTTCCAGTTTGTCGTGTTTTTGTTTGTGGATGTGACCTTAAATTAAATTCTTAAATTAAACATATTTAAATCTTCTGTCTTTTGTGGTTTTTCCTCATCGTTCCGTCTGATTTCCACCAAACGTGTTGCCAGGTGTTTTAATAAAAACATAAATGAAATGTTATTTAAACACGTTCGACGTCGTCCGTGTTGCCAGGTTTGGTTCAGTGATTTCTGTCCAATTACGTTTGAAAACTCGACGTCTTCAGCAGAAAAACGCCCAACAACATTTTGTCACAGAAAACATCAAAATAATCTTTGAATAAACCTGTGACCCACTGTCGGGCTTTTAAAAACTTTGCCAGGATTGAAAAAACATTTTTAAAGGTAGAACATTTTCATTTATCACAGAAAAAAGGACATTTAATATTTAAATAAAAATGTTGTGGGCTTTTTAAAAACCTCGACAGGATTGAAAAACATGTTCTGTTAAAACTTTGGTCAAACGTAGAACAGTTTTCATCAAACGTATAAATGAAAATCATCACAGTTCGACTAAAACCTCGACTACGGAGAGAAAAGAAAACACAGAACCTGAAACTCAAACAGAAGAACTGAACCTGCAACAGCTGAACACTGAGCCCTGAACGCAGAGACTCCGAGACTCCGAACGCCGAGACTCCGAGACTCCGAACGCCGAGACTCCGACGCCGAGACTCCGAACGCCGAGACTCCGAACGCCGAGACTCCGAACGCCGAGACTCCGAGACTCCGAACGCCGAGACTCCGAACGCCGAGACTCAGAGACTCCGAACGCCGAGACTCCGAACGCCGAGACTCCGAACGCCGAGACTCCGAACGCCGAGACTCCGAACGCAGAGACTCAGAGACTCTGAACGCCGAGACTCCGAACGCCGAGACTCTGAACGCAGAGACTCAGAGACTCTGAACGCCGAGACTCCGAACGCCGAGACTCGAACGCAGAGACTCAGAGACTCTGAACGCCGAGACTCCGAACGCCGAGACTCAACGAGACTCCGAACGCCGAGACTCCGAACGCCGAGACTCCGAACGCCGAGACTCCGAACGAACGCAGAGACTCAGAGACTCTGAACGCCGAGACTCCGAACGCCGAGACTCTGAACGCAGAGACTCAGAGACTCTGAACGCCGAGACTCCGAACGCCGAGACTCCGAACGCCGAGACTCTGAACGCAGAGACTCCGAACGCCGAGACTCGAGACTCTGAACGCCGAGACTCAGAGACTCTGAACGCCGAGACTCCGAACGCCGAACGCGAGACTCCGAACGCCGAGACTCGAACGCCGAGACTCTGAACGCAGAGACTCAGAGACTCCGAACGCCGAGACTCCGAACGCCGAGACTCAGAGACTCTGAACGCCGAGACTCCGAACGCAGAGACTCAGAGACTCCGAACGCCGAGACTCCGAACGCCGAGACTCAGAGACGCCGAGACTCCGAACGCCGAGACTCTGAACGCAGAGACTCAGAGACTCCGAACGCCGAGACTCCGAACGCCGAGACTCAGAGAGACTCTGAACGCCGAGACTCCGAACGCCGAGACTCCGAAACGCAGACTCCGAGACTCAGAGACTCTGAACGCCGAGACTCCGAACGCCGAGACTCTGAACGCAGAGACTCAGAGACTCCGAATGTAGAGGACGTTCATTTGTGCACAGGCCAGAGCTCCTCCATAAAACTCGGGAGGCAGGAGTGAAAGTCCCGTACAGTTCCTCGTGTGAACTAAACCAGGACTAAACCAGGACTAAACCAGGACTAAACCAGAACTAAACCAGAACTAAACCAGGACTAAACCAGGACTAAACCAGGACTAAACCAGAACTAAACCAGGACTAAACCAGAACTAAACCAGGACTAAACCAGGACTAAACCAGACTAAACCAGACTAAACCAGAACTAAACCAGGACTAAACCAGAACTAAACCAGACTAAACCAGGACTAAACCAGAACTAAACCAGAACTAAACCAGAACTAAACCAGGACTAAACCAGAACTAAACCAGAACTAAACCAGGACTAAACCAAACTAAACCAGGACTAAACCAGGACTAAACCAGGACTAAACCAGGACTAAACCAGGACTAAACCAAGACTAAACCAAGACTAAACCAGGACTAAACCAGAACTAAACCAGGACTAAACCAGAACTAAACCAGGACTAGACCAGGTCTAAAACAGGACTAAACCAGGACTAAACCAGAACTAAACCAGGACTAAACCAGGTCTAAAACAGGACTAAACCAGGACTAAACCAGAACTAAACCAGGACTAAACCAGGACTAAACCATAACTAAACCAGGACTAAACCAGGACTAAACCAGAACTAAACCAGAACTAAACCAGGACTAAACCAGAACTAAACCAGGACTAAACCAGGACTAAACCAGAACTAAACCAGGACTAAACCAGAACTAAACCAGGACTAAACCAGGACTAAACCAGGACTAAACCAGAACTAAACCAGAACTAAACCAGGACTAAACCAAGACTAAACCAAGACTAAACCAGGACTAAACCAGAACTAAACCAGGACTAAACCAGAACTAAACCAGGTCTAAAACAGGACTAAACCAAGACTAAACCAGGACTAAACCAGAACTAAACCACAGACTCAACTGAAGAGAAAACTGAAACTGAAGAGTCTCGGGGTCAGGAGGAGACAGGGTCAGAAAGTGACAGGGTCAGGAGGAGACAGGGTCAGAAGGAGACAGGGTCAGAAGGGGAGACAGGGTCAGAAGGAGACAGGGTCAGGAGGAGACAGGGTCAGGAGGAGGGGTCAGGAGACAGGGTCAGGGAGACAGGAGACAGGGTCAGACAGGGTCAGGAGGAGACAGGGTCAGGAGGAGGTCAGACAGGGTCAGGAGGAGACTTCAGGACAGGGTCAGAAGTTTTTCATTCATTTTCATGTTTTTATTTGTTTCGTGATGATGGAAATTAAAAGTATAAATGAAATAATTGTGTTTCATGAATCTGTGTGAATGAAAAGATTTGAACATCTGAGACTTTTGACACAAAGTCAAACATTTCAAACTTTCAAACACTTTTATGACAAATGTGATTTATTTATGGGACAAAATTTAATAATTAACACAAAATACTACAGACGATTTAAACAGAACCAGAGCAAGACACGTCAGAGGGACAGGTGAGGGACAGGTGTGGTCAGGTGGACTCAGGTGCGGTCAGGTGGGGTCAGGTGGACTCAGGTGTGGTCAGGTGAGTCTCAGGTGTGGTCAGGTGGACTCAGGTGTGGTCAGGTGCGGTCAGGTGGACTCAGGCGGGGTCAGGTGGACTCAGGTGCGGTCAGGTGGACTCAGGTGTGGTCAGGTGGACTCAGGCGGGGTCAGGTGGTGGACTCAGGTGTGGTCAGGTGGACTCAGGTGTGGTCAGGTGGACTCAGGTGTGGTCAGGTGGACTCAGGTGTGGTCAGGTGGACTCAGGTGCGGTCAGGTGGACTCAGGTGCGGTCAGAAGAAGGTGGTGTCGTGGCTGAGCGCCGCCGCCAGTCTAAACTCGTCCTTGAGGAGCACACAGAACATCCTCTGGGGCAGCGCTCTGGAGAAACAGGCCGGAGACGGAACGCAGGTCCTCAGGATCATCTCCCGTCCGGTCGGAGGAGGGAAGTCCGGGACCTGCTCCGGACCTCGAGACTCCGGGTCCGGACCGGGACCGGCCTCGGGGTCCAGAGGAGACAACAGCGCCGCCTGGAGGACAAAACACACAACACGGTCTTCACGCTCTGGTCTTCAACCTCGTGCGGCGCAGAACTGGAGGTTTGTGGAGTCAAGTCGCGCTTCACCTCAAGAGACGCACAAGAACATCTGACCCCAAACGACGAGTCGGGTCTGACCTCTGACCTCTGACCCCTGTGTGTCTAACCTCTGTGTGTCTGACCTCTGTGTGTCTGACCTCTGACCCCTGTGGTTCTGTTCTAACTGTGACATTTTAAATCTCAATGTTGATCTAAAACGACTTCAGAAAAAACGAGAGCGACGACTTGAGCGTCAGAAAAACTCAAGTCCAACAGATTTTACATCGAGTCATTTGTCTCGGTTCAAATTTCCTGTGACGTTTTTAATTATTATTTTTATATTACACAATTTTCTGTTGTTAATCATGAACTTTTATGTTCATCACTTTTATTTTGAAGGGTTTATTTTTGTTTAATTCCCTTATAAACGTTGTATAAATATATATATATAAACATATGTATATATATATATATATAAAACATATATATATATATATATATATATATGTTTATATATTTGTTAGTGTTTGTTGATGTTCTCTGTGTGTTACTCATGTCAATATTTCTTTTGAATAACTTTGTGTGTCTAGTTTTTTATTGTTGTTAAAGTTGAATAGAAATAAAATCAAACTTGTGTTGAGTTTTGTGTTTGTGGATTTAAACTCTGGAGTTTTTTGTTTTTTTTACTTTTACGACAGATTAAAGGATTTACAATAAATCTAAAAATCACCAGATCAACTGTCACACACACTAACACACACACACACACACACACACACACACACTTACACACACTTATACACACACACACACACACTTACACACACACACACACACTTACACACACACACACACACTTACACACACACAACACACACACACTTACACACACACAACACACACACACACACACACACACACACACACACACACACACACACTTACACACACACTTACACACACACACACACACACACACTTAGATATTTGGGCCGCTGTGTAAAAACTCAGTGGAGCACACGCTGCCCGCTGCAGGCTCGGGCAGGTGCGGCAGGTGCGGCAGGTGCGGCAGGTGCGGCAGGTGTGAGATTTACCTCGTCCTGGGAAAAGTCCGACTTCACGCAGCAGAAACACAAAAACAACAAAAACACACAACAACAAGAACAAAGGAGAAGAACTTCAGACGCACAAAGTACACGCAGGATCTGGAGGATTCACACAATGTGTAGTAGTAGTAGTATTTGTAGTAGTTTGTAGTAGTATTTGTAGTAGCCTACTTTTACTTTATGTTGCTTCTGTAACGTTACCCACCTCAAATAATTATAATTTTCCTTGCAGGTATATGCCTCAGATGCGGACAGTGGGCTAAATGGGCAGATAGAATACTCCATCATATCTGGCAACCACAACAACGCCTTCATCCTGGACTCAGTGAGAGGAATTCTGGCCACTAATGTTGTGCTGGACCGAGAGAGATCACCAGTTCATACAAGTGAGTTCATGTGACACTGTTATGTAAGCACCGGATCAGCTTTGAAGTGGTGCTCTCAACCTTACTGGGCCTATTTATATCAATTAACTGTCAGTGGGAAGAAATAATAGTCCCAAAGTTCTACTACTAACTTTTGTACCACACTGTATCCAAATGTAAAAATACACTATGAATGGACACATAGAATGTAGTAAATAAAAAATAAACTAAAAAATTACTAGAAACAAAAAATGTTTTATAGCCACCCATCACTGCTTTGCACTCTTGGCATTTCTTGACCCTGACATTGCAGAATTGTGAAGTGAAAACCGTTTCAGGAGATTTCATCATAAAGCTCATTGGGAGAGCTAAATGTAGGATAAAAAGTAGGAAAGCTAAGCCAAATTACAAGACAAGGCTTGTGAATTGAGTCAAAACAGAATGGGCTCTGTGTGGGATGACCTTACCACCATTTTTAGGATCGAAGAAGAAGAGAAATTCAAGGCTGACCCTCAAACTGGCTCATTTAAATTGAGATTTGAAATAATGGACTTTAGTAAGGACATTCTTAAATTGAAAAATGAACTACTTTCAGCAGTCATGTGTTTTAGTCAGATCAAGGCAAGGAAAAGTTCAGGACCACATAAAAACAACAACTTGCTCCATTGTTTTGCTTTATCTTCCAGATGTCAATTAACCAACAGAGGGTGCCAAACACTTGGAAACAATGAGTGTAGACCTGTGGCCTGACTTCATTAGTTATGAAATTATTTGAGAGACTAATGAAAAATGAACTTCTTCCTCTGGTAGAGCCCTTTCATGCCTGATGGTTCAAATCAATTGTTCCATTGGGGATACAAATAAAGTAAAGTTTAAGTTGAAGTGTTTGAAGAATCCCTCAGTCGTCCAGGTAGAATCCATGGCGAGGAGAAAATTCAGCTTTTCGACTGGACCAAAGTTAGTTAGAGTTTGCAGTGCTGCCAACATATCAAAGGATGGCTACTTCTGAGGAACTGATATATAGAATGTAAATAATATTTTATATTTTATTTTATATTTTAAAAGCATTCTTTTGCTTGAGGCTGCATCCAAATGTCTGACTTGTAGACGGGGCGGACTGGAACCAAAAAACGTCTCTGGACTACCTGGACCGTACAGTATGCCAGTCCCCCCTGCTAGTAGATGTAGATACAAACAAGAGGAACCACGAGAGAGCGTCCAATCAAATGGAGCTCCTTTAAATAGTAAACTGTCTGAGTGAAAAAAAAGAAAAGAAAAAAGAAAAGAGAAGAAATAAGTAATTTAAAGAGAATGATATAGTTGATTACAGTTTACAGATTATTACAGTTATTTTTACTTTATACATAACATTTGCAATAAATAATGTGTGTTATTCTGTTTCAGATTGGTTTTACAGGCAGCAGACAAAGGAAACCCATGCTTCAGCAGCACGGCCACTGTCAGGGTCCAAGTGGTGGACGTGAATGACAACAGTCCTGTCATACCACCCATGGAGCCTGTGCTCATACCTGAGAGTAAGGGAGATAACAAACAAAAAAAAAGCTAAAGTCTATATTATGCTCATTTAGTGATGTGGTAATACAGAAAAGGCACCATACACCTTCACTAGAAACATTTCTAATATTTGAATCCCTGTAACTGCCAAACTTTGAAGTTGCACCTATTGTGGCTACTCTCACAGGAGTCAGTTTTGCATATTAAAAAAAATATCATATCAGTGTTGTATTGTATTTATTAATTGATTAAATATTACAAATATAATTCTCATATATCACTTTAATCTTAGAGGTACTGATCTAAAACAATATTTCCTCTCTTCAGGTGGAGGTTATGCCACCATCTTATCTCCATATAGATGTTATTACTTTGCCTGGAATGCTGGAGCATACAGTTTAGTTTCAAGAAAAGTTGATGTAGTGCTTAGTTTCACTTTAAAGCATAGATCACAAAGACCCCTTATCTCTTTTCTTTAACTTCTTCACACCTAATATTATAATATATAATAATAATTGTCTCATTCTTACCAAACATTTTCTTCTACCAGATCTCCCGGCTGGCTACATGGTGACACAGGTGACTGCTAATGACGTGGACCTGAGCTCATCCATTACTTACAGTTTTGCGGATAACAGCAGCAGCAGTGGTCCCTTTGCCATTAACTGTTACACTGGAGTCATCACCATGACCCAAGCACTGGACTATGAGACACAGACAGAATACGTGCTAACTGTGAGGGCATCTGATTCCCTCCACCACACCACAGGAGAGGTCAAAGTTCAGGTGCTTGACGTCAATGACAACGCTCCTGTCTTCACCCAAGTTTCATACCAGGTACTCATCACATAGTAGGAGTCCAAGGTATTTAGGCAATGGAAAAATATTCTCTTCTGTATATTGTTTATGAAATTTAGATGTTATAACTACAATACTAAAGTTCGATCAATATTCAAACTATGATTAAGAGCATTGTCTTAAAGAAGACTTGTGTCTGAAATATAGTTATAATCTATGTCAGTCATGGCTCATTATGTAATAATCTGGAAATTTTAAATTGCAATATTGATGAGAAACGACTTAATAAAAGAAACAAGTCTGATAGCTTCCATGTCAGAAACTTGCAGTGCCCAATGAGAGCTGATGTCGCCATAAACGTTTCCACAACAAAGAGACAATCACCCCTAATGGATAGCTGCAGATCACACGAGCCAGTAGCAGATTTTTTTTCATCCATACCAAAATGACCACGCAACACTGCTGAATTTTACACATATTACCCATTAAGAAATAAAATTCTTTTTTTCAGGTGGAGTTGTCTGAGTTTGTTCCTGCAGAAACATTTGTCTTGTCTGTGTCTGCGTCCGACAAAGATTCAGGACCCAGAGGAGAGGTCATCTACAGACTGCTGTCATCTCCTCTACAAGGTTTCTACATCCTCCCAGATTTGGGTAAGGCCATGACAAATGAAGACAGTGCGCTGTGATCATAGTGGCAAACATCAAGAGAAACTTTGAAATATTTATACAGTGGACTTTAGTTCTTGCTTTTTTTAACTTCGTCATCTGGCTTTCATTAAAACTGAATCATATTATTATGTATCATAGCCCGTAAAAGATTTGATGAAGAAGTTGAGCAAGTAGATGACTTGACCAATCATTGCCCGAAATTTTATATTATGACACAGCACTTGGCACTTCAGTCTGCCCCACACTTTGTTCAGCTATGATGCAGGCAGTGCTGTAATGCATAGTGACATTTTCAGCATTGCAAACGTCATGGCTGTTAATAATAAACATAACTTCTTCACATGGAACTTCTCCTTTTCTCATTTTCTTTGATTTATCTATGTTCTTAAGTATTGTCTTTCAGCCGACTAGTCCAACTTGAAATTCATAGATTCAACAGAAAGAAATGTGATATATTAAAAGAGACACATAGATGGTTGCTTAGGGTTTTGTGTATATCAAATTTTTTTTGTTGTGAAATCATTGCCATACTTGCTGCAGGAAGTGGACTTATTGTGATTCTTAATACGTTTACTTTTGTCTTTCTTGCATACAGATTATTCAACGCTGAAGTGAAGTTGCTGTCACTTTATTTATTCTTTATTTCAGACACAAATATTATTCGGTCCATAGTTAAAAAGAAAAACAGGATGCAATATATATATATATATATATATATATATATATATATATATATATATATATATATATATATATATATATACATATATATATATATATATACTAAAATGAGTTCAAATAAAAACAGTAATTTATACAGAAAGCACAAGGCAAAAATGTATTTGTGTATGTGAAAGGTAGATTAAAGTCAGGATTCACTCCATCATCTTCAAATAACTCCCTCTATACCTTCTCCTTTCTGTTGTTGCCCAGTATAAATTCTTATACTCTATTTGCCACATAGCACTAGACTATTTCAAGTTGTATTCACACATTTTTTTTCTTTTTTTACAGGGTCAATTTTCACCAACAAACCCCTAAAATCCATCACCAACAGCAATGTGGTGCACCTCTTGGTTGAAGCACAAGACCAAAGTGACCCAATACGCTCTAGTGTGGCCTCCATCGAAGTTCAGATCGTGGATAGCAATGATCATGCACCAATGTTCCACCAAGACATTTACACTCTGACCGTCCCAGAAGACACACCCACCGACACCACCTTACTCACCCTCTCTGCCGATGACGAAGACTGGAGTCCAGAGAATACCCACCTGGACTACGCTATCATCGGGGGCAACGAGGAAAAGCGATTCTGTCTTGAAGTCAAATTGATTCAAGTTGAGAATCAGTTGCGAAACGTTGCCAAGCTAGTTCTCTGTAACCCTTTGGATCGGGAAACTACAGAAGCGTACTCTTTAACTGTTAGCGTTTCCGATCGGGGAAGACCACCCCTGAACAGTACTTCTTTTGTTATGGTGTCTGTAACTGACTGCAATGACAACGCTCCAAAGTTTTCCAGCACAGAATATCACGTCCAAGTGAGTGAAAACAGCCTCACTGGAACTAGCCTGGTCAAAGTACACGCCCATGATCCTGACTTCGGAGCCAACGGTCTTGTGAGATACACTATTGTTTCCGGTAATAGCAAACAACACCTTACAATTGACTCCCAATCTGGCGTTTTAGCTATTAACCAATCACTCGACTATGAGGAAGATTCAAAGTATATACCGTGACTATTCGAGCTTCTGATGGCAGCGAAACATCGGATATGAACGCAATGTCGCTTTCGCTGTGATCTATGTTACTGTACTGGACGAAAATGACAACGATCCTTACTTCATGTTCCCAACTGTAAATTGTTCTGTGCTTGAGAATCTACCGGCGTTTACCCACACTTGCTCCATCAACGCAATGGACAACGACTCTGGCCCCTACGGTCAACTGACATATTCCATCTTGA